GAACTTTTAGACTCGTACAAGATGCCAGCCCACAGATTAGAAATGGGAGGAATCCAGTGAGGAAAGGAGGTGACAGATGTAGAGATTAAATTCTGCCGATTACCAATGGATGTTAAAACATAGTATTGAAAACCACTGTTTTTAAGTGTATAAACTTTATGCCATAAAGTGTGAACAAAATTCTATACCGTATCTTTCAAAATCTAATTATAAAAGAAAGAAAATTTCTTGTTCTTTAAATGTAGTGATGTTATAAATAAGATAAAATTGAATATTATATCTATTAAATTTCTTTAACTATTTATCTCTTTTTCAGTCCTATAGAGACAACGATTCAGGTCCTCGATCTCATCTCCTTTAATATCCACACACATCAATGATTGATAGGCTTTCGGTCGAAAACTTTTTGGCACTTGTCCTTTGACGCGATAAATTTCCCTTTTTCGATGCTTCCACAACGAGATTTACGAGCATATTTTGGTGAAAAACTTTCGAGGACCGAACAAAGCGACAGCTAATGAGCTTCTGAAGGACTTGGTCGCCGCTCTTCATTAGGCTAATGAGTAGAGTGACGCGGCAACTGCTGGAAAACTAATGCGTTAACGATTTAAGGTTAAAGTCAGATCAGAAAACGGGAACAAAACACGACCCATTCCCCTTTCAATGTCAACGCTACGTGTTTGGCATGCAAACCCAAAGAAAAGCGGAAAATCGAGTAGACTCGGGGTAAAAGTAAAATGCAGGAAGAAGCCCCCCAATCATCCGGCCATGCGATTACATGTGTGAACTATCGATTGAATTAAGACCAGCCAAAAGGGGAAGGGGCGTACGGCGAATGGCGAATGGCGTATGCGAGCCACTTAAGCGTGTCGCTCGACGCTGCTTCATCCTCGTCCACTTGAGGAGCATCATAAAAAACGCACCACCCCCGCAAACCAGACAGGCCAAGAAGATATTGCCCATCCCAAGGCAGCCGATCCCAGCGCTACACCAAAAGAAATCCGAGTTTTAACCATAATTCTATCTCATCAAATAATATACGGCCCTGTTCTAGTTTTCACTTCCGAAAGATTCACACGGAATCGAATTTCTCAGACCAGTTCCAGGACTCACTTCCGAAAGAATTGCAAGGATTTAAATATCCCTCGTTGTTACTCTGTTAACTTCCGAAAAATTCACACGGAAACTTTCCGCCAAGCATTTGACAGGCAGACTTAAATCCGCTAGCATGAAATCAAATTCACTTCCGAGTGAAGACTGGAACAGGCCGGAATATCTTAAAAGAAGTAGTTCATGTCATCCTACAGATTTCTTCAGTACGACTCCTTAAAATAAAGAATATAGATCAGGATTTTGAATTGCTTGAGAAAGGTTTTACAATCTTTAAAAAAGTATTTTAGAGAGTAATTTTTAATGGAAATGTAGAAATGTTTATTTAACATCTTTTTTAATGATTAAAAAAGTGTATATATTCATTAGAAGATGGTACTTTTTTGCTACTTCCTTCTCAATATTTTTTGTTTTAATACATTTTAAAGCTTAAGATTTTTTTCTCCCAGTGCATGTCTCATCAAAGCCTTCACACGTCGCAGTGCAGGCATAAAAAGAGTGCCCCGAATGCGCAGCATAATCAAACGGTGTGTGTGTGGACCATAATAATGTTGACAATCATCCCAGTTGTCCGAGATGGTTTCGGTTTGGGCTCGGCTAAGGACAAGGGTAAGGGGTACGATTACTGTCCTGCCCCTAAGCACTGATTATGCCCAAGATGAACTTAGCCCCTTGGCCATGACAATTTACCGATTGTCATTGCCGTGTCTATAAATTTCATTTGACAAGATGCCCGGCACTCAACGCCTCTCCCCGAAATCCCACTCCGCCGGCTCATCCACTCTTGACATCCACTCAAGCTGCCTGTTCGTTTCGTTCGTCTCCTGGCCTGCGGCTATAAATATGAAAGGGAGTCGGGCAAGGAGAAGGAGACTTTCTGTCGCCGTCGATTTGCATCAGAATTTCATAATTATTGTTTAATCTGCACTCGAAGCTGAGTCCCAAAATGTCGCAGAACTCGACAGAAATCGGAGTTGGAATTGCCATCGGATTGGTTGCAAGCCAAAAAGTCTCTAGTATGCGATCAATGAAAGTGAAATGGGATAGGCAGGGAATATTTCGAAATATTATAAGTTTTCCACCTAGACTAGATTAGCATATAAATAGCAGGCAGAGCAAATAATGTCTTCTGAGAAGAAAAAATAGTTCAATGCACCAAGGAAAATTCCAATAAATGTTAAAATTATTTTAGTAATAGCTTAAAGGTTGTTAAAGTGGATTTAAATAAAGATTTGTTTCTGATAAATGAAATAAATTATTCTACATACATATTGCTGAATTTTCCATAGATTGGATTTTTAATTTTGAAAACAAAGACTTTCCGTCTGTCTGTTGGTTTTTTTCCCAATTCGTCTATAGCTTTTTCCAACATTTTTATTGCATGCGCAGAATGAAATCGAAATTCGACACTTCCTGCTGGCCGAGAATTAAGCTAGAAACAAAATAAATAAAAAAGGCAAAAGAAAACAAAGTAAAATGGCCACTTAATGGCGATCGCCATCACTTGGGCCAAAAAAAACCCAATTTCAACAAAAATTCTTGCGCAACTCTTCGATCGAGTGGTTTCGTCTGGTTACATAAACTCCGCGGAGACGATTTTCGTAGGGAAGGAGTTCTTCGAGTTCTTGGTAGGGCAGGAAATTCATAAAATCAAAATAAAAATAATAAATTCAAGACCAGATTCTGAAAAGACCGCCGCAGGCGACACCGAAAAAAAGAATGAAATCAAAAATGCAATGAAAACAAACCAGCTCGAAGATCCAAAGTTGTATTAATAAAGATTTACAAAGCAGGGCGGTAATAATGTGGACTGGGACCTCCAGTCGTTGCCGAATTACGCCGCCTCGGTCCACAAGTATCCCGCACTTTGAGGGCCGGCAGATTGCGATTGCCTCTGATGTTGATCTCCATGTTGACGATTGTAATTCAATGCTGCAGTTCGGATCGGACTCCTCTATTGCTCCTGCATGCGCCGTTACGCGACCAAAGATTGTTGACGGAGTTTATCGGAGGCCCCAGAGGATCGAAATGTTTATTTTGATTCTTAAACTGTTGCCCGCGGTGGTCGTCGTCGCTGGAAGCCCACTTATCCATGCCGACAGACCACACAGCAAATGGACTTCTCGGAACTCGACGAGATCTGACCCAATCTATGGAGAAAACTGAGATCTACTTCTAAATCTGAATACATAAAATATTGCAAGTACTGTCTGGAAAAAAACTAAAATACAAAAAACTAGATCTCTATCATTAATGTACCTCTTTTTTCTCAATCATTTAAAATTTAAATTGAAAAGATCTTGTTTATCGTGGAAATATTATCGTTGATATTACAATTACAAGAACCTTTGCAAATGATATCATGACAATTCAAAGAAATTAATCGATCTTAAAGCCTCTTCCGAAACCGGGACAAACAATAATGATTATAAGTTTAAATAAAACTTCTGTTTATACAGCATCTTTTGCAAGAAAGATGAATGAAATTTTCAATATCTTAGTTCTAAAGCTGAGTTATGAAATTTTGAAACCTTCTGGATATTGACTTGTAAAATTCTTCCCCTAGTAATCCAATTCATGTTCATACATATATGATCATCTTTTAACCAATTTAAGGATTTCCTTAGTTCAAAAAAGTAGCTGTAAAAGAAAAAACCTTCCAAATGAAATAAAAACATACGCACTTCAGTTTATGCTTTAATTTAGATTTATTTATTACTAAATTGTTTTATGCACACTTAAAAACTATTCACAATTGTTTTTAGTTATTAATTTATCTTAATTTTTTGAGTTCAGTATTCGTGTTTTTCTCCTAGTTTCACAAAGACAGAAAGAATTCCTTCAAAAAATCTTAAAATTTACAGAATCGTCTCTTCTATACGTAAGTGTGTGGGTGTATTTACATTCTCTATTATCGTTCTCAGTGCTTATTACAATGTATAGGACTTGTTTGTTTAGTTTACTTCAGTTGAGTTTTGCTCTTCACTTCGTTCCAGTTTCACTTTATACAACATCGGTTTTCAAAGTTTGCGGTAGTTAAACGTAATACAACCTTTAGTTTTAGTAATTTTATTGCTTACTGAAGGGGTGGAGCGGGGGATGTGGCTTAAACGGAAACGGAAACACGGCCTCTAAGAACAACTATCGCATCTATGATATTAATATTCGCTTCTGCTCTCGCTTAATACTAGTAGAGAAACTAAGGCTAGAACTAATCAACAAATAAGCGTGTGTTACTAACTCGTAATTTGTAATAATGTAGCGATTGGTAATCAGAAGCTGCTAGTTTAGTTTACGTTACTTTTGTTTTTGTTCCTTTGTTTTATACAATGTTTGTCCTTTATACATACGAGCTCGAATTGGTTTTATTTATAATCGATCTTTGCCTTAGTCAGACTGATAATCAGCAAAAGTTCCATCCAAACCTGCACTCTCTCTTCTCTCTCACCTTTCTCTATTTCAATCTCTGTCGATCACTTTCGAAGTTCTCAAACTGATATTCAATCGGAATTTATTGTCGTAATCAAATTAAATGTGAATTAAACGCTAGAAGCCCCCAAGCAAAAAATTCGTAGTAAAAAGGTTCATCAGCATTCCCGGAAAAGTCTAAGTTTTCAGTTTTTAATTGATATTTAAATGGAAATACTTTTAAATAAATGGGAGAATGCGCATTAATGTAATTTTAGGTTTTCCTATAAACTATTAAAATAGTTTTAAAGTAGCTGAATAAATATCAACAGTGGTGATAATGGGAATGCTTGGCTTAAAATCAAAATGCAATACAATATAAACATAATCCTGGTAAACAAATGGTTACATTTTAATGTTTCACCCCTTAGAACCCTATAACAAACACTTTCGAAAACTTTAACTACATGGAAAACATTAATGGAATTGTATCAATTTATACCTAAGAAAACCTCTGGAAACTGCCAACTCTTTGGGGAAATACCTTACACCCGGAACCTTTTTTCTTCCACTTAGTTGACCACCTGCTGGGGATTCCACTGCGGACCCCGGTGCTGGAGATGGAGTTGCTGGTGGTGCTGCTGCTGCGAGGAGGAGGACGAGGATGCGGAGGAGCCGCTGGCCACCGCCAGTTGGCGTCAGAGGTAGAATTCCGGGGAGCTCTGGCTGTCGCCGCCACCGGCGGAGGCACCTCCTCCTCCCCCATTGGCGGCGCCCACGCGCTGCAGGCGCTGCATGAGGGCATCCCGCTCCTGGCAGACCCTCGAGTACTCCACCTTGAGGCGGTGCAGATCCTGGTTGAGCACCCGATTGGCCTTCTCCAGTTCGTGGCGTTGATGGAGTCGCTTGGACCGGCAGTTCTGGGCGTAGCCGCGATTCTTCAGGGTGCGCCGCTTCTGCTTCAGACGCACCACCTCCTCGCGCGGGCAGCCGTGGAGTCGCTTGTTCAGCTCCCGCACCGTCAGCGTGGTCAGCATGTCGTCGTTGAGGCAATCCTCTAGCGTGGCATTGCTGTAGGCACCCGAGCAGGTTCTCGGGGACATGTTGTTCGAGGATCTGGTCGAGCTGGCGGAGAGGGGACGGCAGGGTTGCAGGGCAGCACGGGTGATCACGCAGGATCCGCCACCCACGCTGCCAGGACCTCCACTACCACTGCCTCCTCCGCCGCCTCCTCCGCTGCTGCCACTCCCATTGCTGGGCACCTGGGGCAGGCAGGTGGGCGTCAGGGCGCCCGGAGCCGCGCCATACGAATTCGAGTGCATATTGATGGGCGTCAAATCCAGATTGTGAAAGTGGTGGTGATGGTGGTGCGGATATTTGCCCTGCTGCAGCACCACCTGGTGCGGATGACCGCCATGTCCGCCGTGCGGATGATGATGGTGCTGCGCCTGCATCAGCGGCTGTCCGTGGTGATGGTGATGAGCAGCCGCCGCCTGCAAAGCATAATCCCGCTGCCTGTCCCACTCCTCCGCCTCCTCCTGGGAGCCCGGATAGGGCAGGGGTCGCAGGTCCAGCGGCTGTTGCTCCGCCCGTATCGAGTTGGTCAGCCACATCATGTCGTGGCTCAGGCCGGCACCCACCGAGGCTGCTCCGGCGGCGGCGGCGGCTGCAGAGGCGGCGGCGGCGGCTGCAGAGGCGGAACTGCCCGGAGTCCTGGCGTAATGGTGGGCATAGGTCTGAGCTGGACAACTGCTGCTGCCCGTGGGCGAACCCACCACGGGTGGCGTTTCCGGCGGCGTTGAGGGCACTCCGCCCGGCACACCCGCTCCCGCCGCTCCCGAGGATGTATTCACCAGGATCGCCTGTCCGGGCAACGGACCATATTGCTCCGGCGGCGGGGAGAGTGGCTGCAGGCGCCGTTCGTCCATGTGCCACTGGTGGTGGCCCGAGAAGGACCTCAGCTTGATGTGCGGCGACGGCGAGACCTCCACGGCTCCGGCGGGCTCTGGTCCCGAGAGGGGCAGCGAATCGGGTTCGTCCTCCGGATTGGCGGGTTCCCCGTGGATCGTCGTCCACTTGACCGCCACCGGTTGCGGTGGACTGTGATCCTCGCGCTTTACATGCCCAATGGTGGTCACCTGTGACGAGCCACCGTGGGCGGGGCCAGCTCCGTTTCCATTTCCGTTTCCGTTGACGCCCACCTCCAAGTGGTGCAGATCGAACTCCTGCACGTACGTGTCGTTTATGGTGGGATCTTCCATTTTCATTGGATCGACCAGGGACCGGAGAGGGTCGTTTGCGGGTCTCACATGCAAGGGTGGAGGGTGAACTACGCGATCAGGGGCTACGGAAATTGGGATGTGAACTTTTTCGATTCTATTTCCCCTTTATTATAAGGTTTTTTAATAGTTTTTTGGTTATTTTAATTTTAAAATCTATTCAGATCTATTAGTTCCCAGGTATTTTATGTTTTTTGATTTATGGTAATTACTTTAATTATTTAATTTGGTTTTTTAAATATTTTAGCGATCACTTTCCGCACTTTGGGGCTTTCTTTTCGCTCTCTCTCTCTTTCTAACTCGCTCACTAGTCTCGCGAACGCGCTTTTCGCGTCCAATTTGAAAGAGTTAACGGTATCGACTGAACTCCGGATCCGGTTCAACTGCTGCAACTGCCGGACTGACTGGAGGGTGGCTCTGCTCTGGAAGCTCTGCTCTGGATGCTCTGCTTCTGCTCCCTGGATGTCGACTGTCTGAATGGCAGCGAATCGCGCGCACACCCATTCCCACACCCACACACTCTCACACCCGTTCGTTCCCTCGAAAGCCACCAAAACGACGACTAAAGCCAAAAGCCGACCAACACAACAACAACCAAACCGAGCTCGAACGCCATTCGCTGATGGCTTTTTGCTCCGAGGGCTCCTGCTGGAAGTGGAACTGACAGTGGAAATGGAAGAGTCGGTGGGTGGAATGACAAGGGGAAGGAAGGGAAAGCGAAAGCACTTGTCCGCGAGAGAGAGAGAGAGCCCAGGCACCCTTCCACAGTGTGTTTGTTGTTGCTTTTGCCCTCGCCGGCTGCTGTTCTCGCACACAACAACAACAAGTCAAGCCGGGAAAGCTTCGCAGACTCGGTGCACTGAACAGTGGTTTGGAATGTGAAAATAAATTAGGTTAACTTATAAATTATAAATTAATTGAAACCAAAAAGAAAAAAACATGTATTAGATACTTTTTACCTAGAGATATCTTTAAATCCTCGGGATAATGTTTCTTTAACATTGAATTTAAGGACTTTTTTCATTAAGAGCTTTTCCAAATTATTCTTGGTAATTGAAATAAATGAATTTCTCGACTCGATCAAAAGGCGCAACAAACCCAATAAGATCCTTAGACGGAACGTTTTGGGTGTAACCCAGTCTAATCATTCGATTTAAAAGAGTGTTACAGCAAAACATTTAACATTTGATAAAATATTAAATTTATAAAAACCTAAATAATATTTACTAATATCGAGCACTTTATAAAGAGAAAACCTTTATTCCAATGATTCGACCCACTGTGCAGAAGCACAAATCTATGCTCTAGTCTTCCACTTTGGTGGTGGAATCCCATCCGTTGTTGTTGCTGCCGTTCGGTTCATTTTGGCAGAGCTCTTGAAGTAGGCGTTTTGAATTGCCATGGAGCGCATAAAAAATGGCACACACAGACACACCTTATGCTGTCGTCGGCTCCGCCCACTTTGCCAACGTATGCGTGTGTCCGTGTGTCGGTGTCGCTCTCCCCATCTGCGGCTGTATGGGTGCCTGAATATTTATGAGCAACTACCACGGAAATTCCTACATAGCCCCATTCGCCGATTTCCAGTCTCATTTGGCTGGCCATCGTCGCAAGAAGTCGGAGATGAAGATGGATATATCCACACACACACACATATCCATAAAGGAATGTAACACAACCAGGAAATATCCACATCCACTGTTCCATTTTCCAGTGCATAAGTCAATGGGAGATGTTTTAGCCGAGATAAGTCGCTCGATTTGTTTTGGCTCGTATATAATACACTCCCTACTCTATGTGGCATGTGTGTTTGCTTTGGCCAAAGGATTCCATGGTGCACAGGTGCATTTTGTTGCTGAGCCAGCGAAAACGGACATGCAGACCTTACCAACCTCCAACCTCCAACCTCCTGGAACCCATCTTGGACATGGGATGCTCTTGTTTTACTTTAATTTGGTCTCCTTTTTTTGTTTTGCCCAAATGTTTTGGCTTCGTTGGCCAAACAGATTTCTCTGATGTAATATTGTTGTGAGATTGAGAGGCTCCTGCTTTGTTTGTGCAACAAGTTCTGGGTCGCCAAAAGGTGCAGAATGGAAATTGGGCTGGCAATGCCAATAACATTTTCAAATTTTAGATTTATGTTTATTTATTAGGTCATATATTACAAAAAAAAACACTTTGGGTTAACAAAAATTACCAACGACTACAAAAACCAATGCAAATTTTAAGATTTTCTGATTAAAATGTATAATTAAGTGTGATATTTTAAATTTAGTTATTGGAAAATCATTTGAATTATGTTTTTTATATAAATTACAACAGTCATTAACTGATTAAAATATATTTTAAAGATGTAAATGTATTGGTATAATTTATTAAAATGTATCTTTATAATGATTTTAAATGTAAGCTATCAACTGCTTCATCTCTTTCTAAAATTTACAAACAAATGTTAAATGTATTTAATTTTTATTTTACCATCAAATAATGTTTCGTATTTTTGTTTAACTTTTTAGAAGAGAAAATATTTGTTTTTTTAAGTGAAATCTTTAAGAAAAAAAAACAGTAAATGGGAAATGTTTTTTGCATTTCCTCATATGCACATCTTCAAATGGTAAGCATACGCATTTATGATTTCAACCTTACTACAACTTTTTCTATTCTCCAGTATAACATTTCAATGAACTACCTACTTCCCCCAGAGAACTATTCTCGTATTTGGTTGACTTGTGAGCCACAAAAGTGACCACAAAAACTTTGTTCCACTTGCTGCGACAACTGGGTTTGGTTTTTTGTAGCCGTAACCCCCTTCTCCATGGACATCCCCTGGCACACCCATTCTCCACGCAATTGTTGTGTCGAAAGGAATTGCGAAGGGGGCGGATGGAGGCATAAAACGGGATTCTTCTTGGGCTCTCTGCCAGCAGGAAAAACATAAAACAAAATCAAATCAACTGCTGTGGGTGGGAAATGCAAAGGAAAAGGCGAGGGTGGAATGGGGAGTGCTGGGCTTCATTGAAGCTTGTCAAAATTAAATTGAACACAATCGAATTATCCTGTGTATGCTCCATTTGGTTGTCTGTGCTGATCTCCACCGATGCGGGGGCTTGGGGGGATTAACCAGAGAAGGACGGAGAGACCGAGAGGCGAAAGAGACAGAGACTGTTTGTCTGGTCAGGCAGGAGCAGCACTTAGGCATATTAAAAAGGGTTAAAGGTGAGCAAATATTTAACTGCGGCCAATTAAAAATATTTTCAATAATAAACTCGATGAGAATCAGGGTTTCAGCCACGTGTTAGCCAACTGGTTTCGACTCTCTTATTTTATTTACTTATGCCTGAAAGTATGCTGTGATACCGATGCAAAAAAATGATGAAATAAGGGAGTCAAAGGATTCGTTTTTATTGAAGAAGGATGAGACCTAAACAATAATCTCAAGGATATGCATTTACAGCTAACGCATTTTTATTTCAAAATGCACATATAAAATGATTTTAAGTATATTTAAAAACTTCAAAATGAAATTTTTTATGATAAACAAATAAACAAAGTCCATAATTATCTATCTATATTTTTTAAAGGTGAGTTTTCGATTATCCTGGGTAAACCTGAGTCGTATTATCCAGTCTAAATTTACCTCGACTCTATATCTTCTCATTTGCATCCATTTCGAAGGGCTCCCATTGTCAACCGCCGTTGAATCCGAGTGCAAATATTTGTACGCGATTCCTTTCAATTGCATTTCAATTGTTGGCGGTGATGATGATGATGTGTATGTTGATGTCAATAATGATTTGCTCCCGCATCGATTGAACGCATTTGACAATGTTTATTACGCCGGATTAGGCAGCATTACAACTTACGGGAAAAAAGGCGCTCAAACGTGGTCGCCATTCTGCCATGTGGTGATGTGATGTGATTGATTGTACCCGGCAGTCCATCATCCCCCCCGAGTTCCCGCAGATCATCGTCTGAAGTGCACTTTAAGCACGAAGTAGAGCCGTGTTTTATCACAAACAATTTCTGGTGAATCTACAGAAAATCGATTTTGAAAAAAATAAAAACAAAAAACGCTCATTTACCTTCTGTACTCCAGTGAAAAGCCAGCAAACCTCCTCCCATTTTCCACATGACTCAGTGCACATCTCAGCGGGAGTGCAACTCAATTGGGGGTCGCCTGTTTGATAGGCAATGATTTTTACTCGATTTTTGCCCCTAACTACGGGTTTAATGACTTGTGACAAAAAATCGAAGAACGGTAGCTACATAAATGACACGATATTTGATATATTTAGGCCGATTTTCTCGTCCGCATGTTAAATTGAAAATGAATACCTTGAAAACGTACGGGAATTTATAGATTTTCATATAAAAATCTTTGTAAAATTAATAAAATACATAAATTAAAATATATCCACTCTCATATTCTTAAGAAAAACGGAACCCATAATTTTGTCTTGATGTTTCAATATCACATGATACTATCGTAATTCCCATTGGCACACGCAGTTGGCAGTCGGTAGTGCAAGGAAAATATATTTCGCAACCATTTATCACTTGGGTGGCCCTTGGCTGAGCAAACAGGCTTCGTCCTGCGGCAGGACGAGCGGTAATCGGTGTCTGTGGCAACAGGACCATAACGATCCACCATTTATACGGCTTACACCTTCGCCTCGGGCCGGAATCGTCCTCTTCCGGAGTCAACAAATTGACAGCAAATATTTCAATTATTCTGCCCTGGTCCTTATTTATGGAATCCCCCAAACAAACCACATTTCGCGCGGGCGGGGGCATATTGACCCCCGTTTAGACCAGTTGATGTTTGTTTACAAATCGCTGGACATAATTTATTTGTTCCCATTGTTTTGCTTTTAGCTTTTGGATCTGCCTGCCAATCGCCGAGTGATAAACTGCCTTCCACGATAACGCAAAACGCAAGGGGTGTGAGTGAGGGGTGGATTTGGTCGGGGTCACCCTGGCCAGCTCATTAGGAAGCAATTATCCGTTTAGGGTTGCAAACACACCCACCCCTTTTGAGCGAAGGAAAAATTGAAGGTCAGGTACACTGTCAACGGATGTCAACGACTGTCAGTTTGACACTGCCTTCGGTGACAGTTGACAGCCGGAGGAACGCCCCCAAATGTGTCGTCTGGATAATATGGCCAATTTCGGAAGAGAATTGTGGATGAGTAGGAAACAGGGAAGTTCTTAAAGGGATTCGCATTGTATGTCCACAGAATAATAAATCAAAGGTTAAAGTGCAAGTGCAAATTCAATTCAGAGCCTGCTAATAATACAGATTACTTGAGAAATCATTAAATATTAAGAAGTGTTTTATACAGACAAGGTACAAATAAATTTATTAAATTTTTTTTAAGTAGTAAATATTTGAATATATTTCTATGAAAGTTAATTATACAATGTCCGTTATTTAAATCTCATTAACAGAACATTATGTCTAAAACATTTACTAAGATTTTTAGTTTATAAACTTTTAAATGGATTTTTCAAATTATGATTTTGGGAGGAAGAGATTTATGTCTTTCCTCGAATGATATATGTTTAATTTGAAATCCGTTATTATATTGACTACTTAAATGTATGGGTTTGCGCCACATGTTGGAGAAGGCGAATCCTTTGTCCCTCTTTCCTTCCGTCCGCCTTCTTTGTTTTTCAATAAAATTCGAATAAATTCAGTTTGCAAGCCATAAATTATGTCCAGTTCGGTTTCGACTCACACACGTGTTGCCAGAGGCCAGAAGCCAGAAGCCAAAAAGCCAACTAATAACGCGCATCGGTCGTGCCTCCCAAATGTAGGCTATGTGTGATATGTGTTTTTTGTGTCTGAATGTTTTTTCCGTTCTGACTGCCACTGTGTTACTGTCCTGTCCCCCATAAATATTTGCGCAATAAATTTTTTAATCTTGTCGCTTTAATCGCACAAATGTCGCTGCCTTTTATACGCACCCACACAGATGTCCAGCACGCACACAGATTATGGACGCCCCCCTCCCCGTAACCTCCTCGCCCAGCCATATAATGCCAACCTAGACCCCCGGTAGCAGCAAAATCAATTTCACTATCGTTGACCAAAGGGCAAAGCAAGGCCACCGAAGAGAAAAGTGGGAATCCCAGCTACCCTGCAGTCAGTTAAATGTTTTTTTAGGGGGAAATCTATCAATTAAATCAGCAAACAATTTAAAAACTCCAGATGTTGTTAAGTCAAGCTACCAAATAATTATTTTTACTACAACAAAGATGTTTTAATTTTATGAACTTTTTAAAGGTTTCAAAACACGGAATTTTCTCGCAAAAATATTTATACTTATAAAAAAAAATACTTATATTTCGTACAATTTATAGAGTATCTTATAGTCGCATCAGTAATTATTTCCAACTTGTATTCCTTACCATCTTTTTTTAAGCTGTACGCAGACGGCAACGACTTCCGGAGGTCGAGGGATGATGTTGAGACAACGGGATTCAATAAAAAATATCAAACATATTCGTAACGGTCAGAAGGAGGAATTTGTAAGGCCCCCCTGCCCTTAATCTCCCCTCTCGCTCACATCCGGTCACAGGACGAGTGCAAACATATTTATGGCCGCCGACTGCATTTTATGCGTTGTCCAACACTCAATTACCATAACGGGCAATGGTCGTGTGGCTAGTTGTCTCGCTCTGGCACCTAACGCACTTTGCATACGAATCGCATAAAACTGGAAGGACCAATATGCTAGACTTCCCTGACCGGAACGAATCTTCTGCGGGCTCGTTGGGCCATTTGATTCGGTTAGGACCAAATTATTATTGCCCCGAGCTCGGTCGTCATCGGTCAATGATGTGGCCGGCAAATGTGCGAGATTTATGTCGATTCTAACCTCAAATGATGGGGTCCTAACCTCAAATAGGGTATCACATTTGAGGAGATCTAAAAAAGATTTTCACATAAGAAAAAGGGAGGACTTTTGTCCGAATCAGATGAAATATAAATTGGTCATAACCTTTCTATGATATCAATCTAAAATATTTATGTGAGTAATACTGAAACCATCTTAAATTATCTCCAATTAATATGCAATTTATCTTTAAAAGTTTTTAATTCTTAGAATATCACCTACTTTTAGTCAATTGATTTTTTGTATCATTACATAACATTAAAGTAGATAAAATATGGTTTGATTTCCATAAGAGTACAAAATTACAAAAAATATAATATTTCCCCTTTAATATTTTGAAAAATCAATTGAGAGACCATCGGTGCCTAAGGGCGTATTGGCAAATATATAAAACTAGTCAAATATGAATCCCAATTGTTCCATATCCTTTTGGACACCATTGCCTGTGCACTGCTCCTTCAGCATATCCAACCAGAGCGTATAAGAGTAATCTTCGTGCAAGCCACCATAACTGAAAAGGCATTATACAAGTTAAATTTGTAAAACATAACTGGAAAATAATCTTGAAACTGACCGCTTGGGAAGATGTTCAGGATTTATGTGCTTGTGCAGGGAGGACATATCACTGCCATGGATGTAGAGCTTTTCTCGCATGGCGGCATTGAGAAAAGGCTTAAATATCTTGAATGCCGCATTAAAGACCCAGTTCTGGTTCACAATATGAAGGGCAGATGTCCTTATTGGCATGGAGGTCTGAAAGGGCAAATTAATGTTTTTTAAATTATTAAATTATTAAAATTGAAAGTTGTCATATTCACCAACTTACCACTAAGAGAGCTATCATCTTTTGAGCCACACTAGGACTCAGATGGAGTATGTGTTCCAGGCCCAGATCCTTCAGGTCAAAGATTCCCACTCCTCCGACGATCTGTGAGATGGGTTCCAAGCTGCCCAGCTCCTGCAGGACAATGGTGGCCCGGAATATATCGTCCACGGTCACTCGATTGGGTCGCCAAAGGCCAAATCGATAGATGAGTATGCGGTGGCCGTGTTGATCCCGATAGGGCGTTACTGTCAATATATCCGACTGTCCAATATGACGAAGGTCCAAAGGACGAACTTTCTCATAGAAGCTTTTGTTGTGCTCCCGAAATTTATAGTAACTGCAGAGCTGAAATACAAATACATTGTTTATCGTTTCTTTAAATATAATATAAAGGAGAACACCTAAATTTTTTGGAGTGATTTAAATTTGTCTTCTTTAATTTGGTGGAAATGCTCACTAAAGATCATAAACATGTGATCACCATTCCGTATAAAATTGTAAATAAAAATAAAAAAAATGTGTGCATCACGCATTGAAGAATTTCTTACCAATCTGTAGCTGCTTTCGATTTTCCAGTAGCGAGCTCTTAGAAATTTTTCCAGATATTTTGCATCGTTGCGATGTGGTTGGCAGTCATTGCGTTCTGCAAAGGTATTATCAAGGATTTATTCCAAGGAATTAATTATGATATGAACAATAATAGCCAACCTAAAATGTAGCTGCGGAATTGTTCGATGATCTGGTCCTTGGAACTGGGACACTCGCCCTGCTCCTCAGCAAGTCGACGGATGTGCTCCGGAACCTCCTCCTCCGTGATATTTAATTTGTGCTCAATTGTGGGCATGGTGCGAGATCCAATGCTGGTCGTCTAAAAATAAGCCACATAAACGTTAGATATAATATGGCGTTTCACACGAGTTTCACTCCAACACAAAAAGTTCCGATAAATAAATAAACAAAGCTCCGGTTGTAAAAAAAAATCGCATATGATTAATAGCGACCTCCTGAATCTCATTGCTAGCAATATTTTCCCCCAGATTGACATTCCAATTCCAGTCTATTGATGGGCGATTTTCTTGTTACCATTTGATGGGTTGCGATCCGCTCGACTTCAAGTGTGAAACTGAGCCTCAGAATCGGACCAAATGTTCCCAGTCCCATGCAAAATGTTTGTTTGTCGTTACACATGTATGCGACCATTAAATATTAAGTAGAAACCGAACAACAATGAACATGACAGAGCTCCGCGATAGCGCGAAGGAGACAGCTAATCGGCCGATAACAGTATGTCACAGAACTCGAGTTATTTTTAGGAAATCCCAGAGCCAATTGATGATGTTCAATAATAATGAACAAAACTATTTAAGGGTTTTAAAATGTTTTAAAATGTTAAGGGTTAAAATGTTTTGAAAAAATTTTTCAGGGATTGAAAATGTTTACAGAACAAATTATTATGGCTTTTTAAATTTGTAAACTAAAACCCGATAAAAACTCGTAAATAAATAAACTTATTTATCACTATAATTAGAATGTTTTAATTCAATATAATTGTTGCATTATTGGTACAAAAGGTAACTAAGAATATTTCTTTGTTCCATACTTAATTGCTCAATTAAGTGTTAGCACTAAGTACATAATTGAAATTATTAGGTACTTATAACATTTTTTTGCCGCACGGTGTATTTGTTTGGTTCCGTCCCGCCCTTGGCCGGCATCCCCGATCCCCATCCCTATTCCCAAATAGCCTCGCCCTCCGGTGAACCCCGCGATTACGTTATATTGAAGCCGGTCGGTCCCTGATAAGCCCCCATCCACTCGGCTCGTCAGTGGCTAATCGGGTCGCTTGGGGTCCGGTGCAATGTTGTGACTCCGACACGTATTTCGAAGATAATGATGATGCCACCGCGATCTCAAAGTGCACGGCACACACAGAAATATCACACGTGATGGGCCGTGCAAAGTGCCTGGGTCAATATTTGATTATATTCAACAAATTCCGACTAATTACACAGTACGAGGCGTTTTCGAGGGTGTAACCAATTGTTATGGTAAAACTTCAGTGAGGCGGCACTACTTCGGTTCAAATGTTAATGAACTCGCTATTGTTGTCGTTAATTGTCTCCACACAATTGGAGATAATCCCAAGAATTGTGGGCTCCATTAGCGTGTTTGATAATAAGCAATTATTTCACAGCACCTGTTTTATCACCCCATTAGTTCGGGGTCTCCACTTTCATTACCAGGTAATACTTCTCCGATCCGAGCTGCGGTTACTGTTTCTGGTCACGGTTTTCAGCTTGTAATACGGGGAACCCGGCTCGTCAAAGATCGCACACAAGTGGCATCGCAGAAGTTAGCGACGAAACTGAGCTGCGGATCGTTTAGAACAAAACTTTTTATGAACAGAACTCTCAATGGAAAAAGTTGAGAAAAAGCGCAGCAGTAATGACTACAAACCAGTATGTGAGAATGAACAAGCAGCATCAGAAGGGGGAGAAACAATTCGACGAACCGAATAATTTAAGCACTCTTGTAGAGTGAATATATATCCAGATTAGCCAAAATAAAATGTTCTTAGCTTTTTGCCAAACCAAAATATTTTTTATTTATTTTTTTTAATGAATTTATAAAGCAAAATCTTTCCAGAAAAAACAAATAGGATAAATATTATTATTTTTAGATATGTTCATAATCATGTGAGTTAAGGTTCTAAAATTTTTGATGATTTTTTGGGAATATCCTAAGCAGTCAGTATTTTTCCACACTTTTATTAGCTGAAATTCCCAGCTTATAAGGGTACAAACTGCACTCCGCGCACAGTGAGATCTTAAGCGAAGCTTGTCAAACGAGAAAATTCCGCATTGAGGGGGAGAAAATATTTCTGAACGAGATTTGATGCGGGATAAGTTCAATGAGCTCCAGTGACGTCATAACCTGAAGGGTTGATCAGTTCGCCACGCAAAATTGAAGTTTTTGGTTCCAACAACTTCGGTCTCCAGAATATTCCTTGTCTTTTGTTTACAATTTAAAACTGGTTTCTGTTTTGCAGTGAAAATCGCACCGGGATGAAAGGAACATGCCCCTTTATGACGTATTATTGAGCAAGGTCAGTCAGCAGCAGAAAGAAAACCTGTTCGCTTTTAGCCATGGTCTTGGCTCTGACCACCGAAGCAATTGGCTTTGAAATATTCATATTACCAGGTGGTTAATTGAAAAGCAATCTGCATTTCAACGTTGAGGGATATAATTGTGCAGCTTTATGTAACTGCAACATTATCTCTAATCTTGGCTTAAAAACTAATTAGCTATAATTGACATATAAATTGTAAAATTAATTTATTTTCCTATTTACTTTGGGACCATTGCGCACCGCCTAAACGTTAAAATAATTGTATTTAGTTTTTGCATAAATTGAAGTGAAACAAGAGAGAACGTATAAGTGATTGCGTATAACTTTTTAATGAATAGTCCGATTTGAAAAATATCTTCTACATTTCGATAGGTATAAATATAGACTACAAAATGTCATTTATACTTCTCGGAAATCTTTAAAGATGTGGGCGATTGCGGGCGTTAGAGGGGGCGTGGCGCTCGGCTGAAATAAACTTGCGCTGCGTAGAAAGCCCAATAATATGTCTGGAAAATCTCAACCTTATACCTTTTGTAGTTTCCGAGATCTCAGCGTTCATACGGACAGACAGACGGACATGGCTAGTCCCTGATCAAGAATATATATGCTTTATGGGGTCGGAAACGCTTCCTTCTAGCTGTTACATACTTTTGCACGAATACAATATACCCTTTTACTCTACGAGTAACGGGTATAATTATAACTTTCGAATCCCCCGTTAGCGTAGTCACAAACCTAGCTATCAGTAATCTAGTTCATCCTCCCCTTTTAGCGAAGGTAACCTCCCGGCATAGCAGAGACACCTTACAGTGATACACGAAATACAATCGTTGTGTTTTAAATGCGATAGCAGGTATTTTTTCGCAAAAATATCGATATATTGATATTTTGATATATTTTCGACATCCCTAGCGGCTACATTGCTATCTCTATTTTGTTGTCGTTGTGAAAAGTTGGTAATTGTGCGTATATTACTACTTACCGCGATCTGTGCAAGTTTTCCCGAAAGGCCTTCGACGCGAGGACGCACGTACACTCCGAAAATTGTAGTGCGTCGCCTCGTTTTTTGCCTGCGACAACAAGTTGAGTCGCGCTTCGATTGCAGGCGGCTGCTGAAGAAATCGCAAAATACTCAGCAATTTTTTAACCAGGTAAGAAGAAAACGGCATTTGTGAATAAAAATATGAAATAGGTCGGAAATCGGTGAAACTAGTCCAGACATTTTCGCTAAATAGTGGGCATAGCAATTTTCCGGCCGCGTCGCTTGCAAATTAAAAATGGCGCTACCGGTATAGATAGCACATTTCGCTGATTTTAGGCCGCTTTAAACTATTCCCATGTGCCCCTGGCCAAGCCAAGCTGAAACGGAGCCCTAAAATAGTTTATATCGCAGGGGAAATCATGGTAAACGGTAAAAGTAGTGGTTAAATTGCAACTATTACCGGCAAATGCCAATGAGCACGCACACAGACGCAGGCACAAACGCACACAGACAGGCGCACGCCAAGCGTTGCCGCCAAAGAAACAGTGTTGTTATTTCGAAATGTGCCCAACATCTGTTCCCAGTACAGTAACACCAGGCGAAATAATGTGTTCCCAGCACATTAATAGTTTATTGTTTTTGGCCGGCTCAAAGGTAGTTTCAGTTTAACTTATCCAACGCATTCTCATTTGCCCTAGTCCCATTCCAAATTCGTCTGGATAGAATACACATATTGCGCCTGCGCGCGTTTGTTTTTTATTTTGCTGCGAGTACAGTGTGCCTTCGTTAAGGGTGACTCAGAACAGGGATAAATTTAAAGAACCAAAGATATTTTAACCATCTTTTCAAAAAGAATCCTAAAAAAATATCCAATACCCAAAAGTGTTTTATTTTTTAGTCATAAATTTAAATTTTTAAACAAGGTTTAAAGCAGAAACAAATTTTAAAAAATATATCATTTTCAAATTAATATTTATTGGCAATAAATTCACGTTTTATACAAAAAAATTTTGTTTTCAAAAAGTAAAAAGTTTACATTAATAACGCTTCTTCTGGTTTTTCAAAAAGAATCCTAAAAAATACCCAAAAATGTTTTATTTTTTAGGCATAACATTACATTTTTTAAACAAGCTTAAAAGCAGTAAATTATTAAAAATATATTATTTTCAAATTAATATTTATGGCAATAAAGTCATGTTTTATACAATAAATTTCTTCCAAAAAGTAATAAAGTAATAATAAAACATTAATAACGCTTCTTAACTGGTTTACCCTGTAGTTTCCTACAAGTTGGTCTTATACTATTAACAAAAAAACAGAAAACAAAGTGATTAATAGCGCCTAAGGCAGTATCTGCGAATAGTTCCGCGTACAGTTGCTTCAGTAAATTAACAAACATTTTTATTGTATTCTCCCAAGATCCAGCTAAAGCACAGCGGCAGTAGCATCATGGAGAACGGAAGCAAAGGCGCCATGTCCATCGAACAGATGTACCAGAAGAAGTCGCAGCTGGAGCACATCCTGCTGCGCCCGGACTCGTACATCGGGTCCGTGGAGTTCACCAAGGAGCTGATGTGGGTGTACGACAGCTCGCAGAATCGAATGGTTCAGCGGGAGATCGCTTTTGTGCCCGGCCTGTACAAGATCTTCGACGAGATCCTCGTGAATGCGGCCGACAACAAGCAGCGCGACAAGAGCATGAACACCATCAAGATCGACATCGATCCGGAGCGGAATGTGGTGTCCGTGTGGAACAACGGCCAGGGTATTCCGGTGACCATGCACAAGGAGCAGAAGATGTACGTGCCCACGATGATCTTCGGTCACCTGCTGACCTCCTCGAACTACAACGATGACGAGAAGAAGGTCACCGGCGGCAGGAACGGCTACGGAGCGAAACTCTGCAACATATTCTCCACCAGCTTCACCGTGGAGACGGCCACGAAGGAGTACAGGAAGAGCTTCAAGCAGACCTGGGGCAACAACATGGGCAAGGCCTCGGATGTGCAGGTAATTAACTACTATTTAGAATTAAACAACACCATCTAACTTGCAATTAACCCACAGATCAAGGACTTTAGTGGCACCGACTACACTCGCATCACATTCAGTCCCGATCTGGCCAAGTTCAAGATGGAAACGCTCGACGCAGACATTGTGGCTCTGATGTCCCGACGTGCCTACGATGTGGCCGCCTCGTCCAAGGGCGTTTCCGTCTTCCTCAACGGCAACAAGCTGGCCGTGCGCAACTTCAAGGACTACATCGACCTACACATCAAGAGCACGGACGAAGACTCCGGTCCGCCCATTAAGATCGTTCACGAGGTGGCCAACGAGCGCTGGGAGGTGGCCTGCTGTCCCTCGGACCGCGGCTTCCAGCAGGTCTCGTTCGTCAACTCGATAGCCACCTACAAGGGTGGTCGGCATGTGGACCATGTGGTGGACAATCTCATCAAGCAGCTGCTCGAGGTGCTGAAGAAGAAGAACAAGGGCGGCATCAACATCAAGCCCTTCCAGGTGCGCAATCATCTGTGGGTTTTCGTCAATTGTCTGATTGAGAACCCCACATTCGACTCGCAAACCAAGGAGAACATGACGCTGCAACAGAAGGGCTTCGGCTCCAAGTGCACCCTGTCCGATAAGTTCATCAACAACATGTCCAAGTCGGGCATTGTGGAATCCGTGCTGGCGTGGGCCAAGTTCAAGGCCCAGAACGACATTGCCAAGACGGGCGGTCGCAAGTCGAGCAAAATAAAGGGCATTCCCAAGCTGGAGGATGCTAACGAGGCGGGGGGCAAAAATTCTATTAACTGCACCCTCATCCTCACCGAGGGAGACTCAGCCAAATCCTTGGCTGTTTCCGGTCTGGGCGTCATTGGCCGCAATTTCTACGGAGTCTTCCCGCTTAGGGGAAAACTTCTCAACGTGCGAGAGGCTAATTTCAAGCAGCTGTCCGAGAATGCCGAGATCAACAACTTGTGCAAGATCATCGGTTTGCAGTACAAAAAGAAGTATCTCACCGAAGATGATCTAAAGACGCTGCGCTACGGCAAGGTGATGATCATGACAGATCAGGATCAGGACGGCTCGCACATCAAGGGTCTGCTGATCAACTTTATCCACACCAATTGGCCGGAGCTGCTGCGTCTGCCCTTTCTGGAGGAATTTATTACCCCAATTGTGAAGGCAACGAAGAAGAACGAGGAGCTCTCGTTCTACTCACTGCCCGAGTTTGAGGAGTGGAAGAACGATACGGCCAACCACCACACGTACAATATCAAGTACTATAAGGGTCTGGGTACTTCGACCTCCAAGGAGGCGAAGGAGTACTTCCAGGACATGGAGCGCCATCGCATCCTGTTCAAGTACGATGGCTCGGTGGATGATGAGAGCATTGTAATGGCCTTCTCCAAGAAGCACATTGAGTCGCGGAAGGTGTGGCTGACCAACCACATGGACGAGGTGAAGCGGCGCAAGGAGCTGGGATTGCCGGAGCGCTATCTCTACACCAAGGGCACCAAGTACGTCTCCTATGCGGACTTTATCAACCTGGAGTTGGTACTGTTCTCCAATGCGGACAACGAGCGCTCCATTCCCAGTCTGGTGGACGGTTTGAAGCCGGGTCAGCGCAAGGTGATGTTCACCTGCTTCAAGAGGAACGACAAGCGAGAGGTGAAGGTGGCCCAGCTGTCGGGTTCGGTGGCCGAGATGTCGGCCTATCACCACGGTGAGGTTTCGCTGCAGATGACCATCGTTAATCTGGCCCAGAACTTTGTGGGCGCCAACAATATTAATCTGCTGGAGCCGCGCGGTCAGTTCGGTACTCGCTTGACGGGTGGCAAAGATTCCGCCAGCGCTCGTTACATTTTTACTTTGATGTCTCCCCTAACGCGACTCATCTTTCATCCCCTGGACGATCCGCTGCTGGACTACCAGGTGGATGATGGCCAGAAGATCGAGCCTCTGTGGTACCTGCCCATCATACCGATGGTGCTGATCAACGGAGCCGAGGGCATCGGAACCGGCTGGTCCACGAAGATAGCGAATCACAATCCCCGCGAGATAATGCGCAACTTGAAGAAGATGATCAACGGCGAAGAGCCGGTGGCGATGCATCCGTGGTACAAGAATTTCAATGGACGCATGGAGTACGTATCGGATGGCCGGTATGTGCAGACGGGAAACATCCAAATACTGCCCAGCAACAAGGTGGAAATCACCGAACTGCCTGTGGGCGTCTGGACGCAGAACTACAAGGAGAACGTGCTGGAGCCGCTGGCGAGTGGCACCGAAAAGGTCAAGGCAATTGTATCCGATTACAGGGAGTACCATACGGACACCACCGTGCGCTTCGTAATTACCTTTGCGCCAGGGGAATTTGAACGAATTCAAGCCGAGGAGGGTGGTTTCTATCGGGTGTTCAAACTCACAACGACGCTCTCCACCAACCAAATGCACGCTTTCGATCAGAACAACTGCCTGCGACGATTCCCCACCTCGATCGACATCCTCAAGGAGTTCTTCACGCTGCGCCGTGAATACTACGCCCGCCGCAAGGACTTCTTGGTGGGCCAGCTGACGGCGCAGGCGGATCGGCTCAGTGACCAGGCGCGCTTTATTCTCGAGAAGTGCGAGAAGAAGCTGGTGGTGGAGAACAAGCAGCGAAAGGCCATGTGCGATGAGCTGGTGAAGCGTGGCTACCGTCCCGATCCCGTCAAGGAGTGGCAGCGTCGCATCAAGATGGAGGATGCCGAGCCGGCCAACGAGGAGGACGACGAAGAGGAGGAGGCAGCAGCTCCCAGCAGCAGTTCAAAGGTCAAGAAGGAGAAGGAAGTCGATCCGGAAAAGGCCTTCAAGAAGCTCACCGATGTCAAGAAGTTCGACTACCTGCTGGGCATGTCCATGTGGATGCTGACGGAGGAGAAAAAGAACGAGCTGCTCAAACAGCGCGACGCCAAGCTGGCCGAACTCGAGAATCTGCGCAAGAAAACGCCGGAGCTGCTCTGGCTGGACGATTTGGATGCTCTTGAAGCGAAGCTCAATGAGGTGGAAGAGAAGGAGCGCCTCGAGGAGCAGGGCATCAATCTGAAGACTGCCAAGGCGATGAAGGGTCAGAAGGCAGCTGCCGGCAAGGGCAGGAAGGCTAAGGCAACTGGAACCGCTGCGGGCACAGGAGACATATATCCCGATCCCGAGGGAGAGCCTGTGGAATTCAAGGTGACCGAGGATATAGTCAAGAAAATGGCCCTGGCTGCTAAGGCGGCCCAGAAAGAGCCAAAGAAACCAAAGGAACCTAAAGAACCCAAGGAGGCCAAGGTGAAGAAGGAGCCCAAGGGCAAGCAGGTCAAGGCCGATCCCGATGCCAGCGGCGGCGAGGAGGTGGACGAGTTTGATGCCATGGTCGAGGGCGGCACGAAAGCCTCGCCCAAGGCCAAAAAGGCGGCTGTCAAGAAGGAGCCGGCTGAGAAGAAGCCGCGTCAAAAGAAGGAGAACGGCGGCGGGCTCAAGCAGAGCAAAATAGATTTCAGCAAAGCCAAGGTAATGTACTATATACTAACTTCTTATTGATTAGCCATTTAACTCGCTTCTGTTTTTAGTCCAAAAAGAGCGACGACGATTCAGTGGAAGAGGTAACTCCTCGGGCAGATCGGCCTGGTCGTCGGCAGGCCAGCAAGAAGATAGACTACAGCTCTCTGTTCTCCGACGAGGAGGAGGGCGGTGGCAACGTGGGATCCGATGATGCTGCCAGTGCCAGTGATGGCGATACGCCCAAGCGTCCAGCCAAGCGTAGTCGAGAGGAGGATAACAGCGGAGGAGGAGCCAAGAAGAAGGCACCGCCGAAGAAGCGGCGCGCCGTCATCGAAAGCGATGATGATGAAGTTGAATTCGATGATGATGGGGATGATTCTGATTTCGAGTGTTAGGCCAAAAAGGTATTGGTACGAGTATTTAGCAAGCAAATCGACGATTGGAATCAGAATTATTCGCATCGAGAATCTCGAGGAGGCGCCTTCATATAGGAACTTACTCGCTACGATTGTTTATAATTTCATAGCCCTTCAATGTTCTCCTCGGAGTTCACGTCAGTGTTTTATTTTCCGTGTTTCAATTTTACTTTAGCTAACAACTTCGCTACATTCGTTTACTCTAGCTGATTCTGTGCCCCAGAACAGCAAGTTAAGCCAAGAAGAGGAATTCACAAACATAATATCGATGTATTAACATGTTTTATAAACATAGTTTGTAGTCTCATAAAAGTTTTCTTCATGTAAATAAATCAATTTTACCTAATGACCTTGTTTTATTGGTTCTACACCACCGAGTTGTATAAAAAATAGCACGTGAATAATCAATTTTTATTCACCAAAGATGCAATGAATTGGAACGTAGAAAATATAAATAAGATCTTAAGCTTCTACAAGGTTTACACATCGACACTCTCTAGGAAGGTCTTAAAGGAATTCTTTATGTTGTCGTTGGCGAACTTCGGTTGCTTGAGGGCCTCGCGCAGTGCGAAGCGACATCCCTTGACATCGTAGTCCGATTTGAATGGCTCCTCGCAGCGAAGCAGACGCAGCTGCATCAGCACATAGTTGACCACACGGGTCTCCTGCTTCGTCTCAATGGCGTAGTCAAAAACGGCCTGGTATAGGGAGACGGCCAGGTCCAAAGCAGCTTTCGACGATTGCGACAAATGGGCGCACTTCAAAGTGGTAAAGACGAGCAGCAGCAAGTGGTTGTCGCCGGTGAATTGCTATTTAAGAAAGAATAAATCTTTAATTAATCAATGTGATATTAAAACTAACAATAACTTACGTTGACAATGGACTGCAGTGCCTCTAACTTGTTATCCTGATCCAGCGAGTCGAACTGCTGCTGCGAACAGGGCGTCTGGCTCAAGCAGAACTCCTCGGGCGTGCATTTCTGACTGATTGTCTTGTTAGCAACCGCAAAAGTATCGCTGGAGTTCGCGTTGGTGTCATTGAAAAGCTGCAAAATATTTAAACAAATTGATTAATCTAAGAAATCCTTTACATTTAGTAGGATAACTTACCTTGGTTGTGTAGGCATTGGTGGTGACATAGGCAGTCTCCTCGGCCAGGGCGTTATACTCCTCGTCATCCTCGTCGGCTTCCTCGGTGGTATCGTTGGCATGCTCGTGCTCATCGTAGTCCTCATCCTCATCATAGTCAGCCTCCTCCTCCCCTTCCTCGTCGCCCGATTCATCGTCCTCTGAATTCATTTCCTCGAACGGTTGTAGGGCAGCAGCAGTAGGCAACTTGTTCATTTCGTTGATTATTTGCTCAGAGCCTTCGTGACCAAAGTTATTGCCATCAAGCCCAAAGAAACGAAGCTTGGGCTTGTTTTGCATGGCGGACACCAGGACCATGCCGCCATCGCTGTTAATTTCATTGTAGCCCAGCTCGACAACCTCCAGTTGATCGTTGGAGTTCTCCAGAGCCTCGCCGAAGTGATAGGCGCCATTTGTACGGATCAGGCAGTCGCCAAAGTTCAATTCCCGCAGCCTGCAGAAAGAGCAATTAAAAAACATACTCTCTACAATCTATCTACAACCGACTCACATTGGCAAGAAGGGCAGAATCTCTGCGATCTTCTCGGCTCCCGTGGATCTCAGCGTGTTGTCGTTCATGTTTAGCACCCGCAGATGTGGGTTCTCCTTGTAGGCTTCGGCCAAAGCCTCGACCCCCTCAAAGTAAATGGAGTTCTGCTGCAGGGTAATCTCCTCGAAGGTCTTGAGGGTCTTAAAGGCGGCAGCCAGGGACTTGGCGCCCGCATTCTCGAGACGATTACGAGAGCCCAGAAAGACACGCAGCTGGAGCGGGGATCCCGCCTTCTTGGCATTGGCATGCAGATCGATCAGGGCCTTGGACAGCATGCTGCCGCCCTCGGGACCCAGGCCGCAGTTGTAGAGGAGCAGCTCCTGCAGCGAGTAGCAGGCAGGTGATCGCAGGAACTCCTCCAGTCCGCGCATGCCATTCGGTCCCAGGGCATTGTCGCTGAGATCCAGCACAGTCAGCTTGGCTCCGGCCACATTTAGAGCGGCACCCAGGTGCTTTAGCGCCTCTGGAATCTCCGATTTGAGGCGACGCGTGAAGAGGTTCTTCCACAACGCCTTCCGGAACTCCGGGTGACGCTTCAGACCCTCGCCAATCGCCTTGGCCGCCTCCACGCCCAGCGTATTCCCGTCCAGATTGAGGTAGTGCACCGTGGTCTGTTTGTTGAGGGCATCCACCACGTCTTGGACTGCAAAGGGCATTTAAATCACTAAATCGGGCAAAGGAAGCGTCATCCAAACTCACCATCGGCTGCTGTGTCCCAGGTGCACGCCTTGTCCTGGAAGGAAATGCCCTGCTCCTGGCCCAGTTGGGCTGCCATGCTGGCGAAGTTGAAGTTGGACATGGCCATGGTAAGTCTACTTTGTACTACTCGCTTAATAAATTAACAAATGACACTGTACTTGGCAAATGCAGCCGGCTTGCGAAATTTCTTTTAACCTCGCAAAAAATGGGCGCTAGAATATTGGCATTGCTTGGTATTGTAAGCCGGCAGCGATGGTCACACTAATCAGAGGTGCTCAGAGCGCAACAGGGTGGCGAACTATCTAGCTATTAATGGCTAAAAACGAGACTTGTTTATTGTTACTTTCTCTTAAAGTTAGTTCTGATTACAGTGAAGTTTTCTTTTTGTTTTAAAATATACAGAGTATTAGAATAGTGTAGGAATTAAATCGTATATGAACAAAAATTAAAAATATAGGGGGATTCCCTAAACTGTTGAATTGCTGAATTGTTGAATTTTGTTCAGCTGTTAATCAGCTGTTCCATACAAAGTAAACTTTCAGAAATTTCAGCAATTCAACAGCCTCGGGGCTGCTGAAAATTTTGTTGAATTGCTGAAAAGCCAGAGTTGTCACCTTTTTTTAAAAGTCGTGGCAACTCTGTAACATTTTAGTAACACCAGTACGCATTATTTATTTTAAAATCAACTTAGAAAGCCTATTTGTGGTTCTTTTTACCTTGGTAACAATTTTAGGCAGTAACTAGCAATAAAAAATCAAATTTTACAGGTTTTAAGTTCCGTGAAACTTTTCAACAAATAACAGCTGTTTGAAAATTCAACAGGAACCACTTTGGGTCGTTCCCTTAATTGCTGAAATTTTTTGTTGAATTTTCAACAATTCAGCAATTCAACAGTTTAGGGAATCCCCCTTATGTATGGATGATATTTAGTTTTTATTCTTATAGCTAACTGCTCATCTCTGTCCACAGGGTGTATTTGTTTTGGTCCCATCGATATCGATAGGCCTGCAAGCTGCAGCAGAACAGAAAAAAAACAACAAAAGGCCTGAAATTATGTTGAAATAACTCCCCTGATATGAGCTGCCCTGCTGAACTCTAGGGCACACCGATTAGAGGCATGTTTAGGAAGCTGCTCAAGATGTGGATTCTGCTGCGACCAACGCACTGGCTGATTCTGATAGCCCTGTGCGTGCTGACCTGTGCAGGTTACTGGTTGCTTTGGTCGGAGATTCGCCTGGAACATGGTAAGTGGAGTCCTGGAAAGCAGTTGAGTGAAATCCCTATAATCCTATAATCCCCAGCCTTCAAGCCGCTGTCCAAATTGGGGGAATCTCTGACCCCCGATCAGCATGCCTCATCGTCCACCGACGACTTCGATTTCGAGGAGCACCTGGTGGTGCTGTACAACCGCGTTCCAAAGACAGGATCCACCAGTTTCGTCAACATTGCATACGATCTCTGCAAGCTAAACAAATTCCACGTGCTGCACATCAATGTGACTGCCAACATGCACGTCCTTTCGCTTCCCAACCAAATCCAATTCGTGCGAAACGTTTCCCGATGGCACGAGATGAAACCAGCACTTTATCATGGCCACATGGCCTTCCTAGACTTCTCCAAGTACGTATATCATATAACAAAAAGGATCCCATCTTAATAAGCCTACCCACTTTGCAGATTCCAAATCGCCCACAAGCCCATCTATATAAATCTGGTGCGCAAGCCTCTGGACAGACTTGTCTCCTACTATTATTTCCTACGCTTCGGCGACAACTACCGACCGAATTTAGTACGCAAGAAGGCGGGCAATAAAATTGTTAGTATATTGGTAGGGCTTAAAAGGAATTAAACCATAATTCATAATCATTTTTCACAGACCTTCGACGAGTGCGTGGTGCAGAAGCAACCCGACTGTGATCCCAAAAACATGTGGCTGCAGATTCCCTTCTTCTGTGGCCATGCCGCCGAGTGCTGGGAGCCCGGCAGCAGTTGGGCCTTGGATCAGGCCAAGCGCAATCTAGTCAACGAGTACTTCCTAGTCGGAGTCACCGAGCAGATGTACGAGTTTGTGGATCTGCTGGAAAGATCCCTGCCCAGGTGAGCATGGAAAACCACTAAGAAATCAAGGTGTTCAAATTAATTAATTTACCTCTGTTTCTTTCATAGAATTTTTCACGGCTTTCGTGAGCACTATCACAACTCAAACAAATCTCATCTGCGAGTGACTTCTTCCAAGCTGCCGCCGAGCGAGTCGACAATTAAAGCCATTCAAAAGACCAAAATCTGGCAAATGGAAAACGATCTGTACGAGTTCGCGCTGGCCCAGTTCGAGTTCAATAAGAAGAAGCTCATGCAGCCGGATAACAAGCACGTGCAAAAGTTCATGTACGAGAAGATTCGGCCCAAATGATTGCAGAGAAGGCGACGCAGTCGCAGAGCAAGAATTCGGCCGGCTTAAGTGTTCCAATGTCTGCCAGGAGTCTCCGATTTTTGTATTGTAAATACACAGTTCTCCCACTTAGATTTGATCTGTACTTAAGCGTAACTAATTCGTACACGTAAGCGCTACTAAAGACTTCAGCAGTGAATATCGTTGACATATTAATAATCCAACATTTTGTATGTAGTCTAAGCTTTAATCTTGTAAAACATCGGCGAACGCTTTTGTAGTTCATCGTAAGCAATATCTAGAAACAATTGTATGCACAATATCTCTTCGTTTAGTCAAATGTACGTTTTATACTCGACAATACAGTGGAATGAATGGATGAATCTAGATTCTAGTAGAACCTATAAGTGTGTATTCATATGTAAACGACTCTCATTAATTGTAACTGTCATAGGCTAAGCTCTAAATCTGAATTTGACATTCAAATTAAATGCATGTAAATAGTTGATAATTGATTGTCCAAACGAAGCGTTGTGCGTATCATCAGCTGTCGCTGGGATTGCGTGTTCGCAAATTGATTAATGATATCAGTGGGTTACTTTTAACTTTCAGCGCTCTGTACTTTGACTAAGCTAATTGCAATTGACTGCTCAACGAAAATCCGGCGGACTTTAAGGCTGACGTAGCTCCATGGGCGAAGGTGATTGACTGGCGGTCTGATCGACGGACGGAACGACGTTCAGGCGCAGAGAATGGGCTCAAGCAAGTGCAAGAAAATGAAATTGAAATACATTTGGCAACGGCCGGCGGTGAAATACTTAATTAATTGCTCGCGCTTGAAACTAAAAGCAAATGAGTTCGCATTACCCACAGCCCCCGTCAGTTGATCGCATGATCGCGAAACGCGGACACGCAAGTCGAAAGTAGCTACTGCCTGCCAGAAAATCATTGTTGTTGAAAGAGTGATAACCGAAGTATTAAGTACCCGTATAGCTGGCAACATTACCGACCCGCAAGAGGGATTTGAAACAAGTTTTTTACTCAGTCACAGTGGCGATTAGTCTTTAAACTAGTTGTGAACGGAGCGTTCAAAAGTTCAAGTCTAATTACTGCCAAGTCGCGTAACCATCTGAAGATTAACCTCGATACACTGTGCGAAAATGTAAGAATATTCTACGTATCTATCCCTCGATAGGTCCTACTGTGTTTACGCTATGGAATTTTCCCTCAAAAATAGTTATTGCTTCTCAAAAACTATAAAAGTGTTCCTCGGTTTACATTCTAAAATAAATATAGAATGTGTACTTTTCGCAAGTGCTTAAATGAGTTTTTCTTCGAAAAGCGAGTATAAATAACCAGTGAAACTGCAAATCTAGAAAAGTGGAATATACCTAAAAATATTGCAGTTCAATGAGTGAAACATTTTAAAGCGGTTTAGTAAATTTTAATCAATTCAAGAAGATATAAAACCTGGACAATTATTTTATTTGTTTGATGTTGTTACCTATTCCTTGACATATAGTTTTGGTGAATTCCAAATTTCTAGAGGATTTTGAAAAGTGCATATGAAGTGGAAAAGTTCCAGAACACTAGAAGGATAAATGGATTTTCAGTGCATTTCCTTAAACATTATATTTAATAATGTTAATTACTGTAGAAAATCGATTGAGTACACTGCACTGTGAGAAATGGACTAACTAAATACATTTTTTTAAAGTGCCCAAAAAAATGTGAGGAACGTTAAATTTATGCTGAGTTCACGAAACTATTTTAAACTTGACTTATGCAAATAAACCCAAAAAAAAGCAAAGATCTCCATAGACGATTCGCAACGTGATCTTAACGCTCTTTGACTCGACTCTAGTTGTTTATAATGACCTATTAAATCGCGTTGGCCTTTTTTTAAATGCCCGACTATTCCGACCGACATATCTACAACTCTTGATAACTTTGTTATATGTGTAATGGACGCAGTATATAGAAGGGGCGGCTATAAAACGATTTGACAAGCAGCTTTATATTTTCAGTCTGTAAACGCGAACCAAGCTCACTATATCACTGTCAAAAGGGAGCCCAAATAGGATTTAAGCGCTAGCAACACATATTTTTGGATTAGCAGATTTCCAATAAGGTGAGTAAATATGTTTGATTTTCGGTCTAAAAGTGTGACTCTACAATTTAAAACTAATTGATTTTTCAAAGTGTTGTGATCTGAAGGTGTTTTTTTAGAACTTCTACAATCAACGCATAAATTAAGAATCCATTTAAATGTTTTATAAATGGGGTAAAGGAATTCCAAGCTCAGACTAAGATATTAAGCTTGGTAGGTTAAATAAAAAAAAGTGATGTGCCATCTAGTAATATTGTAAAAAATATTGAAAAAAAAACACTCAACACTATCTTTGAAGATATAATTAGGAGTACTATTTACAGTAGTACGACTGTGTAACAGTGGTCATCACTGTCTGTCTGTACTTTTCGCATTGCCTTTTCCTCATGATTTTTTCAAGCATTCCTTTTATGCATTCGGCGGTCGAGAATTTCAAGTATAGTTCAGTAACTCGCCGACATTGACCCATTTACCGAGCGTCCTACCCAAAGCTCCCGGCTTGAACAGTTCAAAAAATTACTTATTAATTTATTTGCATGGGCAAAACTCATTGTGTTTAGCTGTTTTTTGTGTGCTTGTTTCGTGTTTTTGATTTGCATTGTCATGACAATGCTGACCGCTGCATCTGCGATGAGGTGCCTGCCCTCTGAGGCAGTCCCCTCTTTTCCAGCAAAAGCCGCTCGATTTGGTGAGGAACAGTGAAAACTCGGTGAAGCAGCTAGTTAGATATTAAATATATACTATACTATATATGTACTATATATTATAGACGATAATTTATACATTTCCCTAGAATTATCTGCACTGCAGCAGTCACAAAGCAAAGCAAAGCGTGGGCGTAGATAATGCGCATGCCTACAGTTATATATGTATGTTAGCAATATATGAGTTTTGTTTTTTTTATTTAATTAATTAATTTAAAAAATCAGTAAACCAGTAAAAATCATTGTTATTGGAATTTTTCTAATTTTTATTCATAATATTCTTAATTAAATTAAGGGACCAAAATAAGTTACATAAGTAGGTCATAAGCACCGAAAATGATATTATTCATTAATATTTTAAAATCAATTTTCTAAACCAACATGATTGTTTAAAGTTTCAAGTGTGTAACTTTTCTTTTTGTATGATTTCAGTAATGGTTTACTTGTACTTTTTATTAACTTTATTGTAAGGTCAAAGCACTTTATACATTGGGCTTGCCTTGCCATTGTCGGGTTTTTCAAAATCAAGTTTCTCATGTAGGGTTTTTGTTCATTTTTTTTTTGCAAGAAACCGAAGGGCGAAGGTTGACATTGCAATGGGTCTTAACCCCAGAATTACTCATACTGTCTTGATGATTTACGTAGTTTTTTAACAAGCCGCTGTTGTCGTAGCTTTATAGCACCCAGTTTTCGTCAGCATCCGCTTCAAGAGCGTTAATAAAAATAGACCAATAGTCCAAATCAGTCCGAAACGAAATCGAGAGTATAAAGAAGCGTAAAACCATGAATGGCTGAAGTCTCCGCACGTGCGATCGTGCGATTGAACCGATTTGTCCAAAACCGGGCGGGTTTTCTGTCCACAACGCACAGGGGGCTGAGCTTAGGGACGTGTTAATTATACCAAATATGTCTGCTATACACAAAAGGCTAAAAAAATAGCATATGAAATGTTACTAAATCTAACTAATTTCTGGTAATATTCACCTTTTTTAAGTTACTATTGATTTCTAGTTTTCTAACATAAAAACTCCATAATTATTCCGAAGTAAAAATAAGGACTTTGATGGTTTTCTTAATATATTAGAAGGATCGTTCCTTGTGTTGCTAATTTTAAGATGGTTGAAGTGGAGAATTCAAGTTAAATATTGATCGATCTGCTGAGTTACACACTCCCTACTTCTATATGAATTACTGAAATGTATTAAGCAAACGGTCAAACTGGTTTCACTTATATTCATTTTTGTAAGATAATGGAGATATTTCTGAATATTAAGTGACTGCAATCCTCTCCGCTGGAAAGGCCCATCGACTTTGATTGACAGTGCTATTGACTTGACCCCAAGTGTACGTTGGCCGAACAGGTGTAAGCACTAATTGGCGTAGAGCGGGGCAGCATTGAAACCGGATAGCACAGAGCACGGAGTTTCAGGGTCGCCGTAGGAAATGCCTATGCCAAGGGATTTTTGACCGCCCTGTACACTGGGGCAATTACACTCGAAGAAAACCCGAATTAATTAGGCAAAGCAGCTCGCAAAGCGTTGAAGTTGAAAGCGAAACTGAAACCGGCTTGAGGTGGCATCATTTCCCAATGACGATGCACCCAGATCAAGCTCTCTCTCTGGGCAAACTCAACTATCTCACACCTCGCCTCTCTGCTCCACACACGTGAATGTCATGCTCAAGTTCAGATTTAAGTAGTGCTGTTCAGTTTTAATTTAAAAAATATTTTCTAAAAAAATTACTGTAATTATATTTTTTACTTTATTTTTTAAGACCAATCAACACAACATAAAAAATTGTTAAAATAGTATTTTTTACAACTGCCCTAGTTTAGTTTTGGGAAAAAAGTTAAGGGAAAAAATTATGGCTTCCAGAAAATGAGGTATGATTATAAATTTAGGATGGTATATGTAGATTGGATCCGTTATATCAAATTTGTAAAAAATATATATTTTGAGAAAATGATCCCAAAAATGACCCATAACTCTTTAAAAATGCTGAAAACTGGTTGTTTTGGCAACTCTGGCCCCAAAGCGCATCGCTCGCCAACACCCACTCTCAAGAGAGCTCCACTCTCTTCACAAATCCAGTTTCGATTCTTGGCCTGGCATAAAATCTCCGCCTCGCGCTTTTGGCCGCAACAGTTTCATCTGGGCTTTCGGCTCCGTTGCACGCGTAACTCTCAGCTGGTTTTGGAGACCTCTTCGCGGATTACTGTTAGCCACTAACATTTAGCCAAACAAGTTTCGGTTTGTGTTGTGTTGTGATCCGCGTGTACTATTAAAGATCTCGTAGTTTCCCAGACGCAACATTAATAATTCAAAAATGCTCACTGTGTCATTTATGAATGCGAAAATAGACGAGATCTTTAGCATATCACCTGGCCCATCTAATCCAAATTGGTAGAAAATTTCAATGTCACCTCTTCGGATGCTAATTTCCGAGTCTTTTGTTTTCGAACCATTCAAAGCTGCGCAACAAGATGGAAAATTTATGGCGCTAATTTCCAATTCGATTTCATTAGGCACCAAGATGGGAAAACTAAGGCGATAATTTCTAACATATACCCAGAGACCCTGGGTACTAGTTTAGTGGCTTAAAACTTGCCTAACTAGAATTTCGTTCAAGTAGAACGTGTCAAGAGTCTCGAGAATTCAGTTCAAGGTTTTTCTATCAGAGATGATATAGTATCTCTGCATAAAATGCATTTGCCATGATCGCTATCTTCGAGGGCCAGTGATTTGCGAATCTCTCGCCTCGTCTTCCGTTATAAGTTGCGAATGTCAAGGTGAAGGTTGGCCAGGTGATCAATAAACCAAAGCTTTTCGATCGGCGGGGAAGTCTAGAAATTCAGTGCAGTTTCTCCCTTGAGCCGGTTCCGAGCAACTTGTGTCTGATTAATACGTTTAAATATCTACCCTCCTTCCTATAAATAGAGTGCACAATTTGTCATTAGGCAAACTGAAGCCTGAGATCGCACATCTCAAAAGCGAACCGCTTAGAAAATAAAACTGAAAATTATCGCAGAATAATTTCAGTTGACCAGAGCAACAACAATTGCAAAATGAGTAAGTAATTGTAAAGTACTGCCGTCATTATATGGGCAACTAATTGGCAATTGTTGTCAGTTGGCTTAAGTTATTAAGTTGGCCGAAGTTCCAAGTGCGCTTAGTGAAAAAAAAACATGTGCCTCGAGCTCAAAGTACAGAAGCTATCGCTAATTAAATCCAAATTGCCTCCCTTTCAGGAGTCCCCACAATGCTGTCGGATATCGACCAACTGCCCACGCTCCAGGTGGGCGACTACCTGCTCCAGTTCGAGCTGGGCGAGCCCACGGCCCAGGGAAAGGAGGTGGCCATCAAGGAACTCCGGGAAACCCCCGAGCGCCAGAAGGAGGCCGCCAAGGAACTGGCTCGTCTTTTAGAGTGTAAGAAACGATCGAAAATAGTTTAAGTTCAGGGAAATATACACACAAAAAAAAGCACGTCGCCGTAAAATCGATAAGTCCAGGTAATTTTCTGGTTATTCCTACTCATATCGTTTTTACCTGAAATATTCATAAAATTTACATTAAATAATATCATTTTACCGAATTCTCTCTCTCGGAGATTCTCTTACTTCGAAAAAGAGCGCAAGAATCAATATGGCGAGCAAAATGACATGAGTGGAAGCGAGAAAGACGTATTCGAAATTCGAACTGACGTACTTCGAAAGCATGTTTTCTCGCTCGCACTAGTATAAGTTTTGGTCGACCATATCACATTTACCTGGCCCCATATCAAGTTAAAAATGATCTTAAAAAAGGTCAAATTGACCTACGATTCATATCGAGTTTTTTTTGGGTGTAATAATTGTTATTCAAATAATTGTAATTCAGGGATCTCCGTTTTATTTCCAATCTAATTTTGCATATATTAAAAACCGATAATTCCCACTTGTTACCTTTCGAGAATTAACAATCGTTGAATAATGTGATCAAGTACTCAAGTGTATTACATTTGAATTATTGCCTAACAAATGTGCCTCTGATTTTGCCATAAAATTCATACAGCACTTAAAACTGCCTGCAATAATTTAACCGCTCGTTAAACATTTTAAAATCAATTCTACACATTCTGTATTATTAGTTAGCAAAATCGTGTCACTAATAACGGGTTAAAGTTAAAAGTAGCACGCCCTCGAGATGATTATATTGCATAACTCAATCATAAGCTATAGCGAAATGACATTTGCTTCTTAATTGCAACTTTATACCTTGATCAACCTAATGTCAGTGGATGTATGACTTTTAAGTTTTAAGCTTATTGGAGGTGTGGCCTATTAATTCGTATTAATATTATTTCAGCGGAAACCGATTTGCTCTATCCCAAGGGAAACGAGGAGTGGCTGATTAGATATCTGCGGCCCTGCAAGTATTATCCGGAGAGTGCTCGCGATCTGATTAAGCGCTACTACTCCTTCAAGGTGAAGCACTCTGATGTGTACAATAACCTGAAGCCGTCGAACGAGGCCAACATTTTCAAGCACAATATACTCACCGTCTTTCCCAATCGAGATCAATGTGGGCGACGTATTTTGGTTCTGGAACTGGGCAGTAAGTACAGAGAAAACCAGAATATTTAAGTTACGTTTAGAAAGGGGAATATTTGCCTTTAAAGTAGAGTTTAGAGTAAAGTTTAAAGTCTCAGTGGATTTTTAGATTCAGATTTAAAATAATATCTAACTGTTAATACTAACATATCACTCATTTATAATCTTCTCCCATTATAGAACGCTGGAAGCACAAGCAGGTCACCCTGGACGAGGTCTTCAAGGGCGCCGTGCTCTTCCTGGAGGCGGCCATGCTGGAGCCGGAGACGCAGATCTGCGGAGCAGTGGTGATCTTCGACATGGACGGCCTGAGTCTACAGCAGACCTGGCAATTCACTCCGCCCTTTGCCAAGCGAATTGTGGACTGGCTGCAGGACTCGGTGCCACTGAGGATCAAGGCCATTCACATTGTAAACCAGCCGAAGATCTTCCAGGTGGTCTTCGCTCTGTTCAAGCCCTTCCTCAAGGAGAAGCTGCGCAGCAGGATCATATTCCATGGCACCGATCGCGAGTCCCTGCACAAGTACATGTCGCCCAAGTGCCTGCCGGCTGCCTACGGAGGATTCCGGGAGGCCAGCAGGATCGACAGTGATCAGTGGTACGAGTTGCTGCTCAAATGCGACGGCGAGTTCGACACCATCAACTCGTATGGCTACAAGAAGAAGTGATCTGTGGCCAGCCGCTGCAAGTGATAATAAACTTCCCCAAGTTTCCATTTTAGGCATAGTTGTGCTCAACTCACGCACACGTTATAGTTAAGCACTCGATCTGTCATACGCTTGTCCTGCTAGTGAATAACGCCTAGAGTTTGCCTTAGTTTTTAACCAGAAAAAATGTTATACCTACATATTATAATTAATCCGGGGTAATCGTATTTATACCATTTTACTATTGTACATTCTTAAACCAATTGTTGAAATATAAACACACATTCGTATAGACTTGCGGCATCTTCTTTATTCTTTTGTAGTGTAGCTATAATTTTTGATAAACACTTTTAAAGCACACTTACATCTTGCAACATTTCATATATTTATTGTAAATATTTTTATAATTTAGCTAAAGCAGATCCAAAACTGGCAAACTGGTGGCTCAAAAATTGTATAAAGTTGGTATATATAAGACACTAGTAGCTTGTTCTTTTTCTAAGACACTGGTTTTCACTGTTATACAGTAAAAAACTATGAAATTAGTTACATGATCTATACTGCATAACAGTTACATTGTTCGAATTGGCCGATATTACAAGAAAACAAAATAATTGTTTTAATAATTTAACAAAAATCTTTCAGAAAAGTATTCGTTGGTATAATATAACCTAGTTTCGTCTTAAGTAGTTCGCTTAAAAACAAAGTTTCTTTAGAATATCATCAACTTCAGGGTAATCGCTTTAGCTGGATTACTTTTTGGTCTGAGGCACTTTCCCCCCTCGGAATATAGCGGAATGCATTGGAATCGAAGGTCAACCCGGCGGGGTAAGTGGTTAAATTAAGCGTAAGTTCCCTGACAGCTCCAGTCTGTCTGCTCATAGCCTGTAATTGGTGGCTGGCGCCTTGGCGGCGTTGCGCTTTGGTCCGAACAATTTCTTTCCCGGACTTTGCATGGCGGCATCGCTCGTGTCCTGCCCCTCGCCACCGCCCCCTCCGCCGCCCGTGCAACAGATGCGACGCTGCACGAGGCGAATGGGGCTGGTGAGGTCAATGGTGTCGCCCTGCTGGCGCAGCTCCGCCTCCGCCACGCACTCCATGTGCCGCCACTGGCGGAGGCCAAGGACGAAGGCATCCGTCACATTGGTGGCCGCCTTCGAGGACGTCGTGATGTGGCAGGCGATCTTCTGCTCCGCGCACCACTGCTGCACTGCCTCGAAGCTCACCTGTCGCTTCTGCTCTGGAATGTCGTTCTGAAATGGGGAAATTAATTTAATTAGTAAATAATTTAAGGTATTTTTAATATTAATACTTGATTTTGGTAATAAATAATAATATAAAAAACTTAATTAAAATTTAAAAGGGCCCACTACTGTAGAAATAAAATTTGGTTTCTAATATTTAATACGTTAATTCTTAGAACAACTTTTTTTTTCAAATCATTTAATATTTTCATAATTCCGTACGCAATTTACTACATATTTAATTAATTTAAGGCAAGTTAGTGATGTTCACAGTATATTACTAGATACGAGGGCTAACGAGTATACAAATTATTTACTGGATATTTAATTATACCCGTTACTCGTAGAGTAAAAGGGTATATTGTATTCGTGCAAAAGTATGTAACAGATAGAAGGAAGCGTTTCCGACCCCATAAAGTATATATATTCTTGATTAGGGTCACTAGCCGAGTCGATCTAGCCATGTCCGTCCGTCCGTCTGTCTGTCCGTCTGTCTGTCTGTATGAACGCTGAGATCTCGAAAACTATAAAAGCTAGAAGATTGACATTTTGCATGCAGATTCTAGGAGTTCCTACGCAGCGCAAGTTTATTTCAAAAGGGTGCCACGCCCCCTCTAACGCCCACAATCGCATATATACGATATTGAAAATTTCAATATTTTGGAAAAGTAAAAATGCAGTTTTATTGTGTTTATCAATACTTATTGAAATGTAGAAGAAATTTTTTAAATTGGACCATTCGTTAAAAAGGTACGGTGGATCAAAGTTTTTATCTCCATGTATAATCCTTCGCACTCCCTTTAGCTGAGTAACGGGTATCTGATAGTCGGGGCACCCGACTATAGCGTTCTCTCTTGTTTTTATTTATATAATTGTAACTATAAATTACAAACTGCTGGCTAACAGTGTGCATAAGCTTTAACAGCTATAGGTCTTCATATTATTCATTAGATATACCTATTTAATCAACACGTGGAGACCCCTGGCAACTATAGCTCACGATAATATAAAATAATTAAAAATAATTAATATAAAACTTTATAATTATAATCTGCTAAGATGTGCTTACCTTATTTCCCACCACGATGAAGGGAAACTTGTCCTGGTCCACGTCTGCGTAGTTGAGGAACTCGTTCCGCCACAGACCCAATCCCTTCAAGCTGTCCCGATCGTCGAGGGCGTAGCAAAGCAGGCAGATGTCTGATCCCCTGTAGAAGGGTGTTCGCAAGGCCCGGAATCGCTCCTGGCCAGCCGTATCCCATATCTAGTTTGGTGAATAGAAAATTAAACACCACCGGCAATTAACTTTAATTGAATCGGTGATTCAATTAGCGCTTTATTGAAATTTGCATTCGATTTGGAACTAAACTAACTGAGAACCAGAGGGTTTCAGTGTCTAAAATCAGGGTGTTCTGTATGCCTGACTCACTTGAGCGTATTTACTCGCTTTTTTGTGTGCTAAACAAATATTTAGCTTAAGAAGTAGTCAGAAGCGCCAGCTGATAACAAAGTGGAAGTGATAAGCAAATGCCTCAAGTGGTTGAATCTGAATTTGTTTAGTACTTACAGATAACAAATACCTTAACCATCTTTAACGTAAAATGTTTTATTTTCTCTTTTATATGGATCGCGAAGAAGTTAAGAACATTAAAAATCATTGTTACAAATTTTTCGGTATATTATCTTAGAACTTTAAACGACTTTAAAAAAAGTTAACACCCCCAAGAAGGGCACACAAATGTTGGCCTTGAAAGCCATGAGTAAACTGACCTTTTTAACGTGTGAGTACTTCCCATGGTAGCATGAATATAGAGACAATACAAAATTCACCCCAGTAATATTCCCTTTTTTGCAGCACCGGCTTGGAAAATACCCCTTTTTTAGCAATTTCTTCTTCGACTCAGCGAACCGTGAACCAAAATTATTGTCTGGACTTTACCATTTCGGGGAAATCTCGCTCCTAGCTATATAAAATTCCACTGGCATTAGTCATTCACAGATTTATCAATCTTCATTCCTTTACTTTCTATACCCGGTAACATCGGCGGTTCAATTAGAATCATTATTCCGATTCGCGCCACCTTTGGTTGGATTTTGCTTACTCACTGAGACGCCCTTGCATATTCATAAGTTTTCCGAGCTTGGCGAACTGTGAACAACATTTTGTTTTGGCTTCGATAATTTAGAAGACCAGGAGACAGAATAAATGAAAACCAATTACGAAGCAAATGAGACTGAGAACAGAAACTGTGGCGGCGGATGAAACAAAGTCTCTACCTTGTTTCGGATAGAGAAACTGTCATTACTGCTATTATTTCAGTTTTTTTGCAATGCCGAGCTCAACGTTAATTGAGTACAAATTTAATGCCTATATGTGTGTGGGGGCATCAGAGCAGATGGAAGAGATACAGCTATAAGTATAGGAACAGGTACAGTGGTATCTCAAAAATGTTTAACTATCAGAAGAATTATTATTTAATTTGTTTCTAAAAATGTTATACAAATTTAAAGAGTATGGTGGATCGAAAACCTATTGAAATCGTACCCCCATATCATTACTTTACTTTTAAAAAATTAATTTAAACAAAGTATTGAAAATAAGGTATTAAAATCAAATTTTCTATGTTAAATTTCTGCATAACCATAACCACTGTACTACGAATGATACGTAGAGCAAACAAAGCTCAATCGTTGTTCAGTTTTTAAGTGTTTACATCAACAAAATGCCGGTGGATCGGATAGTGGGGCCCAAGGTGGATGAGGGGGAGTATCAGATGGGGGAGAGGCCTTTACACGTAAAGGAAATACGCTTGGCTTGCCGTTATCTTGCCCAACTGTTGCATTCACAAACCAAATTGCAAAAGTTCTATGGCCCCGACCGAAAAGTTAGCGTTTAAATTTTCATTGATTTATGGTATTTACTTTTCTAATAATGGCATTATATAATCATGTGATATACCATTAAGTAGCTAACTTTACCTGCAATGTAAAGCGCTCCCCGTCGACGACTATATCCTTGTTCATAAACTCCACGCCGATGGTGTGGAAATTGTTTTCCTCGTACCGATTCGAAACGAAGCGAGTGAGGAGGGCGGATTTTCCGACACCCCCGTCGCCTAATATTACGACCTTCAGCAACTTGGATTTCTGCGGTGGCCGCATATTTGTCATATTGGATGTGTTTGTTTATTCCTACAATTAAGCCAGGTGACAGTGTGTAGATTTCTTCAGCTTTTTTTACTGCGCAGCTGAAAATTACTCGCGCTTGTAGTAGTTTCACCCACGTCTTCCGATCGATTTACTTGAATTTTTTTTTTAGAATTACAATCGGTGTGTATATTACAATAAAAATGTAACTAATGTTTTTCTTTCAGCGAATTTGAACGGATAGCTCAATCGAAATCCGCGCCGTTGAGCAGGTCCAATTGGATGGGCTGTCAGCTGACAACTAACAGAACCGGTGCTTTTCCGTAACATTCGTTGGGGCTCTGTTCCGCTAACAGAGCCCCAATTTAGGGTGACCATAAGGTTTCTAATAACGGTACTCAGTTAACATTTTTGTGATATATCTTAGATCCATTATATTAGAATAAATAAAGATACTTAGTTTTAAAGCTGTTCTTTTATTTATCTTATAAAAAGTTGTATGGAAGCTGATTGTTTCAGATTTTCTTTAAAAAGGTAACCTTTAAATACTCATAGAATTCATAGACACAGAAGACGAACAGAACACATTTCAGATGAAATGATGTACCTATTCTCAACCACAAAAATAAGATAAAAACCAAAAACATTGCCGCAAAATTGAATTTGTATAGTTTTCTATTCGTATTTTAAGAATATTTAGAATAGAAACAATATGTCGAATTTCAAGTGCTTACTCGTATTTTCCCACTCTTTTTAAGAACACCACCTAATAAAACAGAATACTTAAAATATTTCAATGTATGCTTCGTTTATTTGAATGACGAAATGAATCTTAATCAAAGAAAATGCGCAAATCTTAAATGTATGAAAATACAAGCTTGAATCTTTTTGTTAAAACTTAAAGTAATCTCAATAACATGTAAAATACTTATGAGCTAAATGGAAGAACTTATTTGATTGGCACTTGTGGGTATGTATTTGAAGCTACAACCTATCGATTGGCGTTTATTTATAAGACGACAATAATAATACTACGTAAATCCAGGGCCAAATAGAGCACCTCAGTTTGCATGCGTTTTTTAACAAAAAATGTTTTTTCTTAGCCTAAATCAATCGAAATATTTACAGTCTATGATCAGTATGGATGGAGAGAGCATCTCCAATGATTCAAATTTTCACACCATTGGGTTGGCCAGCTGGAATCGGTGGCAGGTTGCTTCCGGCAGCACCATCAGAAGCAATCAGTTCCATATACTGAAAGGGCACATGGAAGCTCTGGCCCTTGTGCTCCACCAGGAGGTGACCCCGACCGGTGGAGGCCCCCATCACGGTCACCGCCTCGCCCTTCTTCAGCTGCAGCGCCTCCGCCTGACCCTCCTCGGGAAAGTTCATCTTCATCACGCGATTCTGTGGATAGCCCAGCTTCGAGTTTCCGGAGATGGTGTAGGCTCGAGATGGTGGGACAGGAGGTGGACGTTCCTGTTAAGTAATATTATTAGTAAATTAGTAATGGTTTACTTAAAAAACACCTACCAAATCCAGACCAAACAGATTACAGGTCTGCTGTATGATCTTCTGGTCGCACTTCTCCTGCGGATCCGGCGGAGGAGTTCCGGCAATGGGTTGTGGTCGTGGTCTGGCCACTGTGCCGCCGATGCCCAGGTTCGTGGACTTGGCCGAAAGACGTGGCACTGTGGTTAAGAATTACAGGATTAAAACAAGAGAGAACTAAAGGGAGTGCGAGGGAGATGATATATAACATTTTGATTGCGTATAACTTTTTAATGAATGGTCCCATTTGAAAAATGTCTTCTACATTTCGATAGGTATAAATATACACAATAAACTTGCATTTATACTTCTCGGAAATCTTTAAAGGTGTGGGCGCCAGACACATTTTAAAATCGTTTGTGGGCGTTAGAGGGGGCGTGGCGCTCGGCTGAAATAAACTTGCACTGCGTAGGAAGCCCAAGATTATGTGTGGTAAATCTCAACCTTCTAGCTTTTGTAGTTTCCGAGATCTCAGCGTTCATACGGACGGACAGACAGACGGACAGATCTTTAGACTTAGACTTTAATCTAAAGGAAAGTATTCTCACCCGTACTTGGAGCTGCAGCTGCCACTGCAGCCAGGGCAGCCATGGTGGAGGATGCGGCCTTGTTCTGCGCCGCAGAGTTCTGCGACGTCTTGCTCACCGGCAGAGGAGCTACACCCGTGGCCCTCGATGAAAGCTTGGCTCCCCTACTGCCCACCTTCTTGCGCCACCACCATCCACGCCAGGTGGCCTGCATCAAAGTGGCGCTCTTGTGGCGAATCTCCGTCCGCAAGTGCTCCAGATGCTGGCGGATGCCCTCGCTGAGGAAGACGTGCCGCTTGCCGGGAGCCCAGGCCAGGGTCACAGAGCCATCCAGCACCGGCGGCTGCTCCAGGGCGTACTGCAGGATCAGCTGGCAGTCCTCCAGAGCCTTGTCCTCGCTGCGCCGCAGCAGGCGGAAGGGGGCCAACATGCGGTAGCGGGCGTTGAACTGCTTGAATCTCATGCGATGCGGAAATCCACTGGCCATCAGGTTGACCGTCTCCAGGACCTGCAGGGATCTGATCTGCCGGACCACCGTGGCCCGATCGAAGCTCCCAGCCGCCTCGTTGCCATTGCTCCGAATGCAGCGCACGAAATGCGGCCTGGCATGCACGAGGGTCCTTAGAAGATTATCCAGCCTGGTGTGGAAGTCCTGGGTGAGCGTGGACACCGGCTCATCGCCATTCAGCAGATCCGAGTGAGAGGTGGGCGAAATCCGGAAGCTGAGGCCCCGCGGCGCCTGCTGCTGGGCATACAGGGCCTTCAGTTCGGAGCCAAAGAGATGGGTGGCGAAGCCAAAGTTGCAGGTGTGCTTGTAGAAGACGGCCACCAGATCGTCCGGAACCACATCCCGATTGGTGTCCAGGAAGTCGGTGGTGTCGTACTCCACCCGTCCGGCAAAGTGACGGATGAGGAACATGCGCGGATCGTGCGGCTCGGCGGTGGGTTTCGTCTCCAGGCGGCTGGAGCACCGGTGCTGCACCTTCAGCTTGGCCACATAGCTCTCCGCGGTGCCCCGCACCGAGCACTCCGCGTCCAGCATGCTGAGGAGGCCCGTGCGCAGCGAGGATATCAGATCGATGCAGGGCACATTGTCCACGTAGTCAACCTCGGTGTCGCAGACGATGCCCTCGTCGCGGCAGGACTCCACCGAGGACTTGAAGATGTGCGTGTTGTAGAAGTGCTGCATCGTCTCGGCGCACAGATTGATGCACAGGTGCTCCAGGTGGGCGTGCGGCGAGGGCTCCTCGAAGCCGAACATGTCCAGGATGCCGATGAACCCATCGGTGGCATGTCGCACTGCATTATTCAGGGCAGCCATCGATTTGGAGCCCGCATTGCCACCGCCAATTGTGGAGGCGTGCTGGGAGGCGGCATCCGCCTGGTTGTGCACCGATTCATTGGAGTCCGAGCTCAGGGTTCCCAGCGTGGAGCCCAGGCGCTTCAGGCTGTTGGCCCGACGCACTATGGTGGCCACTGTGCGGCAGTAGAGCGCTTTGGCCAGGCAGTCGCGCGTCATGTTGGCATCGCCATCGCCGCACACCGACTTCACCAGCTGGCCACGGACGTTGTGCGTCCGGGTGGTCAGGCCGCGGAAAAGCGCCGCCGGCGGAACGCCCAGCAGGCTGGCCACCGAGTTCAGCTCCGTCTCCCCATTCACGTCCACCTCGAGGCCCTGTGAAGTACATACAAGTCCTTAGTTTATGATCTCGGAATATTGCCAATATTACTCTACATAAACCCACCAATGTGTGCAAAATAAATCAGAGAGGTCAAGATAAAAGCGAACCTTAAATCAAAGAGCTTTTAAATTCATAAAAATTAATAGACAATGTCCTATTTTTAAAGAATTCAAAGGATTAGGAATAATATTTGTTAGCAAGAAAGAACCAGTTAAAAAAAGTAAAGTAATGAAGTTTAAAACATTTTTCAACTGAACAAATAAATTAAACCAATATTTGAAAAACTTTGTATATCTAAATATACAAATCAAATGGCAATTTCTTCTTAAAGAGTATCTTAGATATAAGTCCTTCAAAATAGTTGTTTAAATGTTATTCAAAATATTTCTCGCTCAGAATAAGTTGTCAAACATTAGTTTTTCAGTCGTAAATTACCTTACTACCATCAGCACGAGAAATTTTTGATGTTTGATGAAGACCTCAGCTGGATTCGAACCCGCGCGAACGGACTCGAGAGCCGACACTCTAACCAAAACACCAAAGTAGCATCGCCAAGCTAAGCGGCTAAAAATAAATGTAAGCCGAAGCAAAACTCTCCGCTAGATGGCGGCAGAGAGTCGAAATAAAATACAGGTGGCTCTTTTAACGGATGCTTTCTATTTACAAGACAAAAATATTAATACTTGAAATATAGGTACTTTGAGTAATTAACAAAGTTAAATCCTATTCTCCCTATTATATTTTGGTAAAAGTAATCGAAAGTTAAAACATTTAATATTACGATTAACAATTAGTTAAATCTACATAGATTTTTATACATTTTGATTAATTAAGAACGAGTTATATCAACCCCAATTAACATATACGAGTTTACCTATTAAAATTTACTATTTTTTTTACTTTTACTCACCCCACCATCAATGAACTGCACATTGCCCAGCAGCAGAACGGCGGCCAGGACACGGACCACGTCCAGAAAGGGGATGCCCAGGATGCCGAGACAGGTTTTCCAGGCCTGGAAGCGCACCGCATCCTCCTGTTCGTTTTGACCTAAATCCCCTCGCAGGTAACGCAGATTGGCCGGTGAGTAGCCATCGAGATGGAGCTTCTGGCGCTCCTCTCGGCTGAGACCGGCCAGCAGTTGGTAGAAGATGTGGTAGTTCTTCTCCTTCGGCAGCGGACGGATGACGCGCGTCTGGTCCAGGAAGTAGCAGTGGATCTTGGTGCGGTATAGGGCTCCGTCCGTGACCTGCACCTCGATGAACTGCCCGATGCGACTGGACTCCGAGTTGGTGGTGGTCTTGGCCGAGCCCAATGATCGGAGGACCGTGAAGGCGGCGGCCAAATGCTTGAAGGCATCCGTCTCAGGACCTCCGCCAGCGATGGCGAACAGCTGGCGAAGCATCAGCATGGCATTGGCCGTCTTGCCGGCTCCCGAGGTGCCCGACAGGATGATGGCCTGCGGATAGCCCGTCTCGCTCTGCTGACGCACTGCCTCCTGGACGATCTTCTGCAGCTGCGGGGCCAGCGGCAGAGCGCGGGTGGAGGTGAGGGTCAGCGGGTTGCCCACGTCCAGGTACGGATTGATGGACAGCAAGATGGGACCCACATTCGTCTGAAGCGGGGAACAAGATAAATGGCAGTAGATTAGTTAGCCAGATGAGTCAAGAATTTTTGGCTTTGGAGAAGGTCATTTGATGAATTCGAGGGAAAAATGAGATGAGTAACTCTTTGTACAAAGAGGTAATCAAAGAAATTAAAGGGGTAAATATTTTCAGAATATTTAATTTGGATATGTGAACTGAATATGACTTATTAAGCTAGAATAATACTTCTTTTAAATATCTATTATGAGTAAACAAATATATCTATGCTATTTGCTGGGTAAACAAAATCTGATTTAAGCTCCACCTGGCGGCATAATTATTTTCAGAATATTTAATTTGGATATGTGAACTGAATATGACTTATAATACATCTTTTAAATATCCGTTATGAGTAAATAAAAATATCTATGCTATTTGGTGGGTAAACAACAACCGATTCAAGCTCCACCTGGCGGCATAATTATTTTCAGAATATTTAATTTAGAAATGTGAAATGAATATGACTTATAATACTTCTTTTAAATATCCATTGTGAGTAAACAACTACATATATGCCATTTGGTGAGTAAACAACAACCGATTCAAGCTCCACCTGGCGGCATATGCTCGCACCTCATCCGCAGCTCCGGTTACCATATTCACTACCATATTCACTACCTTACCCATTACCATACCCATTACCATTCCCATTCTATCCCCTCCCCAACTAGACCAGCTCGACTTCCTTTGCCTTCCGCCGGGTAATTGTCGAAATTAGCAGTTAATCTGGGGCCGAGTGCAAACGGAGCTGGGTTTTAATGACAAACTATCACTATAATTGCCGACGACCGGTTTCTGGTTTCAGTTTCCAATCTTCGGGGTCTGCAGAAGTGATTCGAAGAGGCGGATCCCGCTAATACTCACAAAGTACCGCTGCTCGTTGAAGCGGGCCTGCAGCGTTCGCATCACGGCATGTTCGGTGAGGGGTCCGGACAGGTGGATCAGGTCCTGCATGTCCTTGGGCAGGGATTTGGCCAGCTGCTGCTGCTGATGGTGCTGCTGCTGCTGCTGCAGCTTCTGCTGACCTCCGGCAAATCCGAAGCCAAAGGGCAGAGTCTTGACACTCTGGCAGGGATTCGCGTGCTTCGGCAGCGGGATGAATGGCAATTGTTGGCTGTGGGCGTGGCTGAGATGGTGACCAGCGCCTCCTCCTCCTCCTCCAGCTCCTCCTCCTCCGTTGGTACCAAGCTGTCCCGAGTTGGAGGAGCGCATGGGCAGCGTATTGGAGTTGCTGTTGGCCGGTGGTTGGGAGTGGGAGTGGGAACCGTGCCCCAGGATGCTTCCCATGCTGCTCATGTGCGGCAGCGTCCCAGTGGACTGGCCATGTCCGCTGCCACTTTGATGGTGCGACAGGCTCGTCTTCTCGCCCAGCTGGTGCGGAAGTGGGTGTGGAATCGAGGTGTTCCTCGCCGACACCACTGCCCCTGCTCCTCCTGTTCCTCCTGCTCCTCCTCCTCCTGAGCCCGAGTTTGTTGGCAGCGTCTGGCTGAAGTTGTGATTCTAATTGATGGGTGTAAAGAAGTAAACATCTTGATTTGTCGGTACTTAAGACATGTTGTTTATGATTATGTTTACAGTTAATACCTCTATTATAATTTTACCATATCATAGTAATTCAGAACTCACCTTCGTGTGGTGCCCATTGGTGTGCTGTTGCACGGCGCTGGCGGAGAGACTCAGGTTGAGATTCGGACTGGAGGCATTCAGGTCAAAGCTGGCCTTGGGACCCGAGTTGGCCCCTCCTGCGGAGGCATTCTGGCTGGGATTCTGACCCGGTCCTTGGCCCACATGCAGGCGATTTCGCAGGGTAACCAACTCGGTGCTCAGGCTTTTGAGCCGCTGCTGCAGGTGAACAGCCTCATTGGATGAAGATGCATCTGAAGGAAAGTCAATATTTGAAACAAAATTAAAAAATTAAAAAAGCTAAAAGATTTATTTAAATAATATCAAAAGAAAAAGTCGATTTGAAATGTAGATCGATTTTACATTATTTAAGATCAATTTTAATTTCATATGTGGCCAGGTAAATTTGACCTGGTCGAAAAGCGTATTTCATGTAAAAACGAATTGGGTTTTGCAAGACCAGAAATGGGAACATGCTTTTTATTTTGTGTATATTATGTAAACCAAATTTTGTGATTTTAGAATAAACTCATTTAATAAATAGATTTAAGCCAGTATATTATTCAGTAGACAATAATTTAGTAGACTCTCTACATTCGATTTTGCGTTGGCAGAAGAGCTCAGATGCTCTGCGAATGATATTGGATCCTCACTTCGATTGCCTTGGATTGAATGGAGCAAAGTCATCGCAAAGGAACTCAGCTCCCCTGCAAACTCATCGAAACAACGACTTCTAGCGAACAAAGGAGATGGATGAGGACTTGTCGTAGCGTCCACGGATCATGGGTGTAATCGGCATGCCCAGTCGCATGGCAGTGTCCCTCGAGAGAGGATAGACCAGTGGACGCCGCTCCTCGACCCATTGGATGGGCTGCGTCAAGTGGTGGACACTGTGGTCCAGTTTAATGCCGCACTTTCCCTGATGCTGGCGGAAGCGCGTAGGTTTGTGCAGCATATTGTGCGGATCCCGATAATAGTCCCGGTACTTCTGGCTCTCCAGATAAAAGTTGTCGATCCTGTCCAGATCGTCGTAGTCCACGATAACCAATCCAACCCTGGGTGCGAAGCCCAGAATGGCTTGCCGCTGAACCTCTGCATTTTTGGCCACCGCCCTCATGTCCACCTCGGGAATGGGTTCGTTTTTCATTATGTACTAGGAGTATATAAAAACTAAGAGTAAAGATACTCAATATGTAATTGTAAGGAGTGAATGCTAATAAAATATCTGTCAACAAACGATAAGTAACTCAAAGAACGTTTGATGAATGTCGAACTCAAATTAAACTAAGTCTTTTTCCTTTAACAATAAATACTACTAGTTAATAAAGTTTAATAAATTATCATTACTAATAAGTTATTTTTATACAACAAACAACAAACAAACTGGTGTAAAGCAGAAATTCTCAAACAGAACTTTTGGCTAGCGCCGTTCACCGTCCTCGATAGTATAGTGGTTAGTATCCCCGCCTGTCACGCGGGAGACCGGGGTTCAATTCCCCGTCGGGGAGATAAAAGTAATTTTTTTTTTAGATATTAGTAAATTGATTTTTTTTATTTTTTTTTTTTAGATATTTAACAGTTTGGTCAAGTTTAGACTTTAAAGTAAAAATAAATAAAAACGACAATATCCAATTTTTGAATTAGTTTTTACATTTTATGGTTTCTGAAAGTTGATCAAACTTTGTGTTTAGTAAACACTGTTTACTTTTGAAATAAAAAGAAGAGCTTATCTCTTATCTTATCTCATTAATAAATATTACACATATCTATCCGACGTGTGAAATTCACAATAGACGAAAAATAAACGAAAATTCAAATGAAAAGAAAATATACTTTTGTTTAGGTTTTAAAATATTGCCATTGCCTTCAGAAGTAATTATAAAGAACGTGAAGTATGTTGACTTTAGTTGAATATAAATAAAAAGTTATACATTCTTTTCACACTTTTATGAAACGGCATTACATATTTTTAAATCAACAAAAAAATCAAACTTTAGACATTTTGTCTTCTGTCTGAAACATGCAGACCATCTTCAGAAACACTTCATCAGCTGACTATATAGAAATCTTCATCATGGCGGCAAGGAATTTGTTTGGATCTAATTAACAGCTCAATACAACGAAAATCAATTCGCACCGATTAATTTCGCCTAGGCCAACAGACCACAGACATTTATGCACGCGAATCGCTTCGATGGGCTTGTGCCGATGGAGCAGCAAAAGTCATTTTAATAGAAATGGATGGTTGGCATTTACATAAAATGTTAATGAACCAATTTCGCCGGAGTTGGAGAAAAATAGAGACACCGAAAGCGCAAAGATGAAACGTTACCTTGGCGGCAGGTGGAAACAAAGTTACCAAGACTCGCGTACACATAGAACAGAAGATCAATGAGAAGACCAGACGAACAGCTTATAAAGCCAACTGATTTATGAAGACTTTCAAAACAGGGCCGAGAGGTCATTGTTACAGCCCCGACACCCCGAAAACGCTGGCCAACTAACGAGATTTTATTAAGCTAATGCCTTTTAGGAAACCTGTCTACTAATTTTTACAGTCCAAGCAAGAAATCAAACTAATTAGCTAATGAAAAACGAGGAAAAACTTGGCAGAAGTACAATGCTACCAGCAAAGGTATTTTGCCTTTGGACCACAACAGAGAGTCGGAGCGGAGCTTACAACAAAATCGGAGTCGACAAAATACAAAAAACAATATCATTGATGACTTTACCTCTGACAGAGGAAACCAGTTTTGGTGTGGGCTTTTTTTCTTGTGTTTTCTGTTGCCCAAAGTTGCACTCAAGAAATATAAGACAAAAGCCACAGAAAAAGGTACTGAAAAGTCTTCCATCGAAGTCATGCCAGCAGTTTTGAGTCTTTTTTAGACCTTTTCCAATTTAGAGACCGACAAATCAGGCTTTTATTAGACCTCGGGAGGAAAGATTTGTGCCTTCCAATTAACTCTTGATAATTTCACAACCCAAAAAAGCGTTAAATTGAGATTTGGGAATATTTTTGAACAGTTAGTAATTAGCTTTTATTGACTTTTCCTCGATGTTTTGTTTTGTGTTTAAAGTTTCGCCTTTTTGCATGCTAGGGATGGCGAGAAAATTTCTTGGAAGCTGAGTAACAAAGATGGCCCAAACTGGTCGCCAGGCACAATTTAAGAAACAGTCGCGTCGCACAAATGAAATGTTGCAAGTCGAGAGGCGAGCGACACCCATACCATACCATACCATACCAGGTATCCATATAAGAGGATTCGGTCTGTAGTTATTGCCGATGATTATGAATATGAATGCGATCGACTGCGAATGTTCGTGGAGGTTGATTGAAAACTACAAACCAGCAGCCAAAGATGGTAGCGACAAGTAAATCGAGAACCAATCAACTGACACTTAAGACAGGCAGTCCAGAAAAGAAATCATTAAGCTCAATAAAAAATTTGTGGAACAAAGCTTGACTAATATAATTATGAAAGCGTAAAGCCTTAGTTTCTTGTATCAGCTGCTCAAATTAAACAACAGTAAGAAATATAAGATTGTTGAAATTTTTTAAATAGGTATTTTTAAAGTTTTACTTAAGAAAAGAAATACCTGAAATTATACCAAAACTTGAAAGATCTATTAACGAAAGGTTGCCATAAGTTAAAACACGATTTAGCTAATTATAAATTCCTCGAGTTTTGTATTAATAATAGACATTAAAGAAAGGATGCATTGCCATTCAAAAGACTTGAGAAAGAAACTTGGATTTTTTGTTTGCACATAATTTTTGATCATTTTATAATTTCTTTCAATAAATTACTTTATCTTTAAATGTATTTATTATTTAAAACCAACAAATATAGTCTTAAATTGTGTGAACCCAATCAAAAGACTTAGGCAACAAACTTGGAATGAGTGTGTGAATTGTTTGTGGTACCTCTATTTGTATGATGCCTTCTAAAATATTAAAGTTTGAAACAAAACCTTGGTTTTGTTTATATCCCAGAAGATCAATTGATGTTCCTACCATCTTTCCTAACTTCGAATATAATCAAACAAAAGACTTAAGCAACAAACTCGAAATTCTCATAGCTAACAATTTTGCTTACTCCCAGGGACAATGTCTAACTTACCCTGCAGCTTCTTCTCCGTCTCCCAAAATTTTTGCAATTCGGTGAAGTATTTATCCAGTATAAAGACTTTTGACAGGCCCAATGTGGCCATCGTTGTTGAACATTTGTGTGGCCACGACGACGACGGCGATTTTCTTATTTGAATAATTCCGTATTCCGAATACAGGCTCTCACCGATCGGCGGTACACTGCACTACACAGACACGAAACGATACTCCGATACAAATGGCCGGAGGAGAGGAACAGGTTTTCGTACTCGTATTCGTATTCGTATTTCGTTGTTCGTTTTTCGTTTTCCGCACAGGCTCTGCAGGCACACCGTATCTATATCTATGCCATACAAACCGAACCCGAATCCGCGTCCGAATAAATATGTATTTGTGTATGTTTTAGGCGGACGTATGTGCAGCTGCAACAAGTGAAGCAACTGCAGAGCACACGAAAATTCAGTTAACAGGCGAAAAGAATGCAGAAGGGCGAGCGGCGCGGCGGCCAAAAAGCGAACCAAATCACAGGGAGCTTGAGCCTGACGGTCAGGTTTTGGGTTTGCTTTTAGTTTTTTTTGCTTTTTGCTTTGGTTCTGGATCTGCTTTTGCTTTTCTTTTATTATTGTGCTTTATTTTTGTACCCCCTCTTCTGATGTTGTTTTCTTCGCGGCCGCGCTTATTTTCTCGTTTTGTGCAGACTTTTTTTTTCGTCGTTTTGGTTTTGAAAAACGAGTTTCCAACTTTAACTCCAGGTCCAACGGGCAGTGTAGATGTGCGCTTAGATACCGATACCTCTACCTCGAAGGTATACCAGTAAACGGTGTTGTATGCCACAGAGGCAGGGAGATTTATTCGATTGAATAGCTCTTTTCAGATTGACTCGCTGGTGGCACTTTCAACCGCGTGACCTCTTCGCCGATTAATTATAAACTTTAATTGGGCTTTTCAGCGACCGTTTCACTTCGGAACCGAATCTCCAGAGAGAGAGAGAGCGATATAGAGACAGTGAATATATAGCGAATGCGATGCCACACGATCCGAACGATTCAAACTCCAGCCGCAGACTGATCGCCTCCGCTGGCTTCGAGTAAGATCTCCCTAAGACGGGGCTCTCTCTGCCCCATCCCATCCCATTTGCCAGTAAAACGCTCTCCCGCTCGCAGGTAACTTTTCTAACAGGTAAAAGGCTCTACCTTCCGAGATGCGAGTTGCAAGATGCGTATATGTGCAGTTGTTCAAATATGAGGTCAAGTGTTTGGGACCTCCGCCCGCCGACCGTCTCGTTTTGCTGGTCGCGTGTTAATTAGCGACGATTGTTTGCCGTTTCGCTGCATTTCGCAATTCCCACAGTTCAAAACTTAGAGCAAAATTGATTCACAAATGTGTGTTTACAAGATGGTTTTTGTTTCGGCAAAACAATACAACACTATATTAGCATAAATTAATTCCAACTTATGTATAAAATGTACGATTCTAACGAAATAAATGTCTTTTTCAATTTCTTTTTAAAATTAACGGTTTCACTGCTTGCGTACCGTAAACTGCTTACATTTTATTCTATTTGATTTTTAACGGTTTTTATCGATAAAATATTCTCGATATTTTCTTATTTTTAAAGCAGTTTTTTCGATTTTTACAAGCAGTGTTTAATCGGAATAGCTGAAAGAGAAGAAGAAGAGAAGCACCACTTTAACACTGCTTGTGCACTGCTTGCACAAAATGTCGTTATATTTTAAAAACCTATTTGAATATGAAAAAGAGAATAACAATTTTAAACGTCAATTTATTGCTTGTAAGCTGCAATATATTCAATGCATTCTGAATATTTAAAAATAAAATATAAAATATGCATTTTCAGGTTATCTGTCCTGCTCTGACAAATCAAAGACTATCTGATACCGACCATAACTTTTTCCATCCTTCATGTAATTGATATGGAGTTGGTTCAAGCCTCGGTATAAAAGTGATGGCCAGTTCTGCGGGGCCACATTGACGTTTCTTACGTAATATTCACCCTTTGGGAAGGGGCACAACTCGTCGGCGGGCGGAATATTGGTGTCCGTTATCATTGATAGGAAATATTTGCCATAGTATTTGGTAAACCAATCGCAGGAATTGAGGTGTAAATTGATGTTCCCCTGAACCCACTCGCCGTTCTTAAATTGCAGAATATTTAGCCAAACTTCGTAATTGTCATCCAGGTCGACAAGGTGAGTTATGGTTCCATTTATCATCCGTTCCCTTCCAACAAGTCGTGCTGAACAAGTGAAGAGCGTTTCTTCATCGCCATCTGGACATATAATCGATTCCATTCGGGCATATAAGGTCTTTCCCAAACACTGTAAGTCCAGGATGAGATCAGATAAATAAAAAGGATAGCAGTTTGGGTGTGTTTCTATTTACCGCTGAGATCGTCCACAGGATCAGAAAACCTAGAAGCTGCCAACGAACCATTTTACCGAACTTAAACGATGCGAATTTTTAATGAAGCAATAACTTTTTCCATTGGTCATATATACTACGATTATGGCATGTCAATTGTCAATTAAATTGACTTCAATCGTTGGTCAATGTCTGATAACAAAGGGGAGTGGCTAAATCAGATGTATAGGGAAGTTGGGTTACATTTATTACCACAAACACATAACACGTTTACACTTCACGAAAAAATTCTATATAGTTCATAGAGCTTTTTATCCCCAAATTTCTAAATTTGATGGCAAAACTTAATACGTAAGTTTTTACTCTTAATATAATAAATTATATTGGTTAAATCCTACCTGTTATATTTCCTGTGGTTTTCTGGCACGCCTTTTTCCTCTTGGGCACAGGAAGAGTGTAAATAGCTGAGAACTTGGAAAACCTTTCCACCACCGCGTTGGTCCTGTTGGACTTGAAGTCCTTTACGTCCGTTTTGGCTTTTCCTTGGGGAGATTTGGGTATGGACCCCACAACAGGGGTGGAAGTTTTCCTTTGCTTTGGTGACGGCGTAGCGGAACTGAAAATCAAAGGGGAAAACACATTTAAAATCAAACCACTTTATTGGCACTCTAATTAAAACATTAAAGAAATCAGCAAAACTTCAAAAATGTCCAAAGTACATTATCAAAGTATAAGAACATCTAATCTTTCAAACTGGTTAAGAAAGTTAAAGTACTTAAACTTTTGAAATCGAACCACTTTATTGGCACTTTAATTAGAACATTAAAAAAAATCAGCAAAACTTCAAAAATTTTCAAAGTTTATTATCTAAATATATGAACATCTAATCTTGAAAACTGGTTAAGAATATTTTGTATAGTACTTAAAAGTAATAAGCATATGTTTCCAAGTTGTAAAACTTTATCTTTAATATAAGGAAGCTCACCTGACTGCCTTGTGGTATTGGCAGAAGAAGTCGGGTCGCATGCGATGGCGACACAGGAAGTCCTCGCACAGCCGCAGGACATCGTCGTCCTCGCAGTTGTCGCTCTGACTGGTGCTCTCGCTCTCCTGATCCTCCCCCTCCAGTCCATTCTCGTCCTCATCCTCATCCTCCAGCTCATTCTGATGCTGATCCTGTCCCAAACGCAACCTGTCCTTCTGCTCCTGCGGACTGTAGAGGAAGGCGGGAAGGGAGTCGCCCAGGAAGTCGGGTATGTTCTCAAAGAAGTCCGCCGTTCGCTCGTAGCTGCTGCTGCTGGCATCGGAGCTCTTCGATCGCTGCAGCTTGGACTTCAACTTCAAGCCGCGACTCCTGCCCTTGTGGAAGGTCAACAGCTGGTGGCGGCCCACATCGTAGTCGGCGTACGTCTGGTCCGGCAGCAACATAGCAGCCTCATCCTGAGTGACCCAGCCAGTGGTCAATAGCTGGAAAAGGAAAGGATAAAACACCCAAAAAAGACTTGATATGAAACAATGATCGATTTGATTTGACTTGATATGCGGGCATCTCATTTCGAGGTAGATGGAGATAAAAAACTTTGAATGCGCATAACTTTGTAATGAATGGTCCGATTTGAAAAATATCTTCCACATTTCGTTAGGTATTAATAAACACTATGAAATTTTATTAATACATTTTAAAAATCGTTAAAAAAGGTGTGGCCGCCAGACACATTTCAAAATCGTTTATGGCGATTGTAGTTTTTGAGATCTCAGCGTTCATACAGACAGACAGATTTTTCTTTCTTCCTCCCACTCATGTACATGTATATAAAGCTCTTATAATGTACCTACAATATTGATCTAAAAATCGGTAAAATCTTTAAAAATTCTAAACTTATTAAAATGAAACTTGGCTGTCTGGCGAAAGTAGATTTAAGCCAATCAAAAGAAGAGGATTTGGCCTGCTTTTAGCATTTGCAGCGGGCAGAAATATCAATCGCGACATCAATTCGCATTTTAATTGCTTTTAAATCAAGTGCGCATGCGTCTGGTCGAAAAAGGAGGTGGAGAATTAAGAGGAGGAGGACGGCTTCCGCGTCTGCAGGTCCATAAACCTGTCGGTTTATTGGCGCAGCCGATTACCACGATTAGCGTGACCATGACGAAGGTGACAGACACGGACGCTAATGCCTTTTACTGCCCAGCTCAGTGCGTCGGGATGGGAATGGATCTCATCTGGAGGCGGGGCGGCTTGGGAAGATGTACCTGGAGACGACTCCATGCAACATGTTGCAAGCGCGGCTAAACAGATGAGTTGCTTGGCCAAATGAGACGCAGTATTTACGCCACACGCGGCCAACTGGAGGCCCGTGTGGTCCAAGTACCGAGGACTCTGCCTGTTGGCAATTAACTCAAATGATTGTCATAAAGTGTTGGACGTGTGCGGAGGAACATGTGGCCGCCATCAGCGGCAGAAATCGGAGACCGAGCCGCTGGCGTCGGCATTTTTCAATGTCAACACAGCGGGCGGCAGCGTTTGACCAGGAAGCAAATAAATTCAGCGAAATTGGTAAAAAAAAATGTAGAAGTATTTGTATTATAATGTCTAGAATCTGGACACAAAATCATAATATCTACAAATTAAATTGGTCAAGCAAATCGACTATTCTTATCATGATTTTAAGAGCATCGTTCTTATCAATAAAGTCACTCTCCTTTTTCACAGAAATTTAATCTATTGTGATTATTCTTTATTTTAAGAGCATCACAGAAACTTTACTCCACTACTTTAAGTTATGTATTGTGCCTAAGATTAAAATATATGTGTGAACATTTTGTTGATGTTACAAAACGAACTAAATTCAAGATTTTCTAGAAATATGTGATTATTTTTCTTAAAATTTAAATGCATTTCTTTCAGTGAAAATAATTAAAACCATAATAGCTCATAAGAGTTTCTTAAATATTCAATACTTATACGATTAAGATCTCCCTCTAATGGGATAAGAAGGTGTCCAGTCTGGTTTTCTCTCTCTGTAAAAGACCATCTAAGATCACAGATATCTGAGGCACTTCTGGTTTATTACGCAATATGTGAGAAGAGGCTTTCCCTGAAAGGGCTATTCCCACTGGGCCAACAATCTAGTACTTTGATTTTGTCAATTTATTGCTGCTGATTGGCTCCACTTGCCCATGAAGCCAATCTCTGGCGGCTGACAGATTACACGGCGAAGGAAATGTTTGGCCATAAATCGGCTTAACCAGCAGAAAGCGGCGGAAACGAAAAGAAACGGCAGCCATGCCATCCGGAACAATTTGGCTATCTAAACATGGCTAATCGCCTGGTCCCGTCCTTTCGGAATGAATAAAATATGTCATCTAATAAATGCGCACGGACAGCAGGAGCTGGAGTATCCGTATCAGTATCAGGTAGCGACATCGCATAAAATAAAATAAATCTCATAAATATGCAGGCTGTGGAGATGGAGTGGATCTGGAGATGCAGATGGAGGTGGTCTGTCCAGACCCGTTCGCTGGAATACCTGGGCTACCTGGGCAAAAGCTGCGACTGACTGCTGCCCGGGCATCCAACGGAAATTTATTTATTCTAACTACGAGTACGATATACTATTTCCACTCCAATCTGCAAAGTGCAAGACAAACGCTGCTGTGGGTCGCTTGGAACCTTTCCGAGCTCCCTTCTTCGGACCCTTCACTGTTCTACAGACTATAGACCACATTCTCATGTGGGGGGCCTCGTGGCAATTTGCATTCGCTGCCAGTTCAACAAATCAGCATTCGTACAACTCGACTATGAATTAATAAGTAAGCTAAAATTTAGACAGATGGAAATGTTTCTTCTAGCTCCATTCATTTCGAGTGGGAAGTGGTTCACAGTTTCGGATTAGGATCTTTGGGGCAAAGAAATCCAATACGCCCAATGGTATTTTAAATGGTAAGCCCAGAAAAAAGGTAAATATTTACAATGATTATTGATTTAAAAGGTTTCATTTTAAAGTGGTGAAAAAAAGAAAAATCTTTTAGATCAGACTTTGTAATAAAAGAGGACGATTAATATCTGAAAATAATGTAGATATTTGAGTTATCTGTATGTAATATTCCTTTACTTCAATAGAGATATCCCCAAAAGTTTAATTTTCGAGATATACTTAAAGGGCCGCCTGGGCAAACATTTACAATCAATTTGAAGGCATCGACTGAGCAGTTTCCCAGGCCTGCAGATGATTACAGGTCTAGGATCAGGCCCTTCTCTCGCATTTTCGAACTCCTCCCCCGTGCTCAGCGCATAAGAAGTGCAATTTTGACTCGCTACATGAAAATTACATGATTTAACTTAATTTAATAAAGAGCCAAGGGCACTAACTCCTTCGCTGGGTCTATTCGGCTCAGCCCCCAATAACAACAGCTGGTATCGCATCGTGGTATCGTGGCTCGCTTTTGTGATTTACCGCATGTTTCCTCCCGACTCCCCGAAGTCCCTGAGTCCCTGCCAAGGGTCGAACACCGCCCCCGCCAAACTGCACCGAAAATTACACTGGTCAACAGGGTTTCCAAACCAGTTTTTGAGTTAGGCCTAGTACTCACTTCAATAAAAAAGCCTACGAAATGAAAATCTCCATACGAAATTTGGATCACGAAATTTTTCGCCTGTCATTTTTGTATAGAAATTTTCGTTTTGTTGCCTTTTTTATCGAAGTGAGTACTAGGCTTTAGTTAAAAATTTCTTTTAAACTTCATAATTCCCAATTTTATTATTGAACCATATTTTTGAATATATTACACAGAGATAATTTTTCAAGAAGACTAACGTTCTCAAATTAAGTATTTGTAATCTCAATTTGAGAAAGTACTGATTTTGTGGACAAATTTTATTTGTCCTCGTTTTTGGAGAAAAAATCTCGAAGAAGACTCAATTCCAAGGTATTTTATTTTAAAAATGTTTTTCTGAGAGTGAGTATTTTGCACTTAAAGTCAGTTCTTTGTTAAGAGTAAGTAAAAAACAAAAAGTAAGTATTTTTGAATTGAATATTATTATGAATATTAAAAATAAATATTAAAAAACTACACCATAAAATCGTTTGATTAATTAAGATAAATAAATCAGAATATGCTAGTATCTTTCATAGAAAATCCCAAACTTTGTAGATCTGTGCAGGCTGGGATAAAGTCAATGTCGAAGTCGGAGCCCTGGCGTCTTGGTCGTCCATCAACGTGGTGGGGCTGGTGGATGCTGGCCTCGAACTTGGCCACACTCCAAGAAAGCTTCTGGCCGCCCAATTAAAGCGGCTCGAATGGCCACAGTTCGACCGTGCGACTGTTTCTCGCAGTGTACGGATTTGTGTAGATCAAGAGATTTTGATTAATAGGTGGTGGTTGCCAGGCTCTGGACGGTCTCTACCTTTGGAGATCCGGACGACTCCATGGCCATGGCCTCGGGTTAGACATTGAGAAATATTTTTGCGAATCGAGTCGACAGAAGAAGGCAGTCGAAACTCAATGAATTCAGCTGGCTTTTGGTGGCTGTGTGGCTGCTGCCCTTGTTGATTTGGTAATCGCGTTTGTTCTGCCCGTTGTTCTACCCAATTGTCTGCGTCGTCCTTGTATTGTACTGGAGAATTCAACCATCTTTCACTGAGTCCCAAGCGGATTTGAGACATTAATAATCATTTTCTATGAAAATCAATATTTTTATGATTTTGTGTTTCTGAGAAATAATGGTCACATAATGGCACATGCTGGAATTTTGAGTGATTTATTGGATTTATGTATACAAGTCTTGACAACGAAGAGAAAGAAGGGTCTTAAGTTAAAAAACATTTTATGAAATATTTTCATTTAACCCAGTTCCTAAGTAGAAATCTATAAAGAAAGAGGCTTTTTGCTTAACTTTAAACCTGAAAAATGCTTAAAAATTTGGAAAGAAATTAAAAATAAAATTTATTTTGGAAAATCATGAACAGATTCTTCTAAATACAACCTGCTCAGTAGGGATACCCAATTCTCACTGCGGGCTACAATTAAATCGTACCCAGTTAAAATACCACAGAAAAAGAGAGGTTTATCCAGCGAATCAGCGAATTTCGATTCCGCTTTGGGTTCGCATTCGACATTAATATTCGCATTCCTGCCGAACATTTTCAACGGAACTTAAATGCATGAAAATTGCAAATATCGTCACGTTTCTGGCTTTAAGGATAATTACGTGTGCATAGCTCAAGCGGCGAGAGATGCTGTGAAGGAAGAGGAAAAAGGGGGCAGACAGTCTTCAACCTGTGCAAGATTCAATTTACGAATTTCACAGCCATAAACAAAGAACCAGCAGCCAGCGAAGAAGCGGTCTCAGTCACGAATGAGCCCAGGAGCAGCGTGCGGGGCATCCGGGGAGGAGGATCACTGGGGCAGGGTTCCAAGGGGAACCCAGA